AACATGTGATGGGTAATTATTCAACTAAGAATTACAAAGAGTTGTAATCAGTAAAGAGTTTACTCACCTTGAAAATGTAATACTTGATGGTAGGGCCAAAGTCCGGTCAATTATTGCATAAATAAAGGATCTTGGAATCATTTTATTCAATAGGGATCAATTAAAATTGAATAAATGTTTTAAAGTTAACAATTTAATTCGCTTATGGCACTTTAAATTTATATTAAACATAATTGAATTTTGCGTTTACTTATAAGTAACATGTCGTTCTGATTTAATTGTTATATATAATATCTCCTCGATTGAAAATATAGCTGAGAAACGTTCTCGAAAGGTTAAAAGATAATCCATAAACCTATATTCCAATTTTGCTAAGATGGTTCTAAAAGGCAAGTTTTAGAAAAACCATGTCACATGTCTAAGGTTGGTTTTATTCAAAATGTTTGAGTAAAATGCCAACACATCATCATTTTGAAAAGTGTATCAAGGATATGATGAGATAGGAGGTACAAACACTCTAAACGACGAGTATAGAAATCTAATAAAATCTCTTATCTTCAATATGATTTGATATAAGAAAATGATAGAAAATCTTTATGATCAAAAGTTGATCAAATGACGTTATTCTTCATCCATTTTATATAAAGAGTTAAATAGTTGATTAAACTCTAATATGAATAATGATTGAATATACTTAGCAAAATTATGAAAAGTGCTTAAACAAGTTAAGCAAAGCATCATTTTGAACCTAATAGAAATGTTCTAAATGGTTCAAATGGGAAAGGTTTAGGAATATATGAGGATTGCATTATGAAGTTATAGGCCAAGAAATGCAAATAAGTTACTACTTCTCAAACCTAGAACTACTTACATGCTAAAAGTTGTTATGAACAACAAATATTTCAAATTAAATGGACCAATTCCAATTAATTAGAAACTACCTCATATAGTTGGAAGGTAAAATAATGGAAAAGTTCCAATTTAAGAAGTATATTATAGAAATTGATTTAGCACATTGCTACTTTTTGGACATACGATGTCTTGTTTAGATCACTCATTGCACAATGTGGTTGAACTAAAGGAAACTTAGCTAAAGGAGGAATAAATCTACAAGTTTAGAAGCAAATTTTGCTACTTCACTAGTAGAATCTACAAGTCTGGAAGCAAAAGTTGCAACTTTACAAGTAGAACCTATATTTCAGCTTACCTTGTTATTGGCTATAATTAAGTAAATATTATTCATTCTTGCCAAATCAAAACACCATTCAATATTAGTAATGACTAAGCATCGGAGATTCAAAAACGGGGAATAAATGTTATTCTATGCTTTATTGAATCATAATATGTTTTGAATTGCTAAATAGGATTAAAGTTCTATATGATAGAAATAATTAAACCATTTCTATATATAAATTGTCTCTAATATGTCAATTAATTTGAATGAAAAATGAACATTGCATGCGGAAGATCCAAAGGGATGGACTTTCAAAATCATCAGATTATGAATCTATTGATTTATGTAAATATCATTCTAATTTGAAAGTTTTGACAAAGTCACCATTTAGAGAAATGATGATGTGAACTCAAGGTCGAATACATATCAATGTACAAAAACCAAAGGGTTCAAAGGCAAGAGACGGACAATGAAACTTCACTTGTGATATGATCAATACTTGTGCTTAGTTGAAGCATGGAAGTGAAGATTTTGAAAAGTTCAAAATATTCAATATGAAGTTCGCTATCAACTTGTCAAGATAATGATTACATTACAATATGATTGTAATTGTGAAAATTTAAGTCAAGACATGTACTTGGCAACACATTCAAAATATTGTGATATGATCGTAATAATGAGAATTTAAGCCAAGACATTGATAAACATCCAAGAGTTGTGAAATCGTTTTACAACAAACTCCGAAAGAAAAACCTTGTGAAGTGTTTATGAAAGGAGATATCAATCTATATGAGATACATTTTGATAATGGATGTAAATTACCTATCTTCCAACCATTGTTCAAGGGATATACTTTTAAGATAAGCTAAAAAACTAACCAAAAAACTACTTAGGTCAAATCAAAATGTAGCAAAGGTTTCATATGTGATATGGATAAGAAAAGTTCTTATTAAGTCTTTCTACAAAACAAGGAACACAAGTTGTATTAAATCGTTTGATGCACGTTTGATTCCTATATAGAGCACGGGGTACTACTACACAAACCATACTTAGGACAAAGTGTTTGTTGCTCAAGTAGGTGCCCTTATGGAAATTGTTCCAAAAGGTCAAGTGGGAGAAGTATAAATCTCGAAAGAGTTTGGGAATAGCAACAAACGAACATGGTTCAAACCATGATTGATTCACCCTATGCTAAAAGTACCTCCTCAAAAAGGCAAGTGGGAGTATAAGAATCTTGAAAAGTTCAAGAGCCTTGAAAGCAGTTTAAGAAAAGCTAATTCGAAAATCTTGAAGAAATTCGAGAATTATTTGAATTAAAGCAACAATATGAGCATGATTCACCTCATGTTACAAATGACAACACGTGGTCTCATTAAGTGTAATGGGAATAATAACCATGTGTCGAAGGTAGTACATTCCAAGTGCAAATCCTCTATTGTCGTTTCTCATTGAAAAATAAACAAAGTTGTTGTATGAGTTTCAATTGTTGCATAAAACCCACAATGATGACTAGAATATGTAAAACTTAGCCAAAGAAATATGATTTCATATTGACCAAGAGTTTTAAAATATTTATTTTGGAACATGACGATTATGCAAGTAATAAAGTTGATTTGACAAGTTATGACTGCAAGTGGTTTAAAACCATGAAATCTGAAATAGATTCTACGAAAATTTCACCAAATACCACTGAGTTTAAACAAAATTCACCAAATACCATCAACTTTTTTCAAATTCACCAATTACAACTCACACTATACAAAATTTCACAAAATGCCAAATTTGTTAATAGATGTTAGCATGTCGTTTGTGTTAGTTTACTAATTCACCATATACCATTACTTATAAACTTTAATTCACTATATACCACTCTGATAAAATTTATTTCACCATATACCCAAATGTAATAACGGCTTTTTTTTTTGAAAAAACTAGTCGTTGCCATTTTAACGGCTAGTTTGTGTATAAAAGAAGCATCCTACAGAGGTTTAAAGCACAACCACACCTTATTTAGTTTGCAAAGATGTTCACACACTCTAATTCTTCACCTTCTTGTTATGAATCTTCGTATGTGAGAGTGCCAAACAAAGTGTGCTCATGTGGAAGGAAATTTGCAATTAGGAGCTCCGATTCGGCAAAAAATCCTCAAAGATTGTATTACAAGTGTGATGTTTGTGATAAATTTAGATGGTGCAAGGGTCATATTGAGCAAAATGTTGTTTCGGTTTATGAATGTCAAAGTCGGCAAAGCATTGATGCACAATTTCATAGAGATGAGACTATGTTGAAGCAAGAGTTGAAACAAGTGAAGAGAAGACTAGTACAACAACAAAAACTAGTAAATGGAGAAATAAAAGTAGGAGTAATTATGTTTTTAATCATTGTATTTGTAGCGTTTAAATAAGTTTTTCTTGTACACAAAAAAAAAACTAGTGCTATATGCATCATCAATTCCTCTCATTTGTGCTTATCTAAGTTTGTTGTGCAAAAACAGATCAGATGTATGCCTAACAACCAAGCAATGTTTAACATAATTAGTTGTCCAAAAAAATAAAGGAAAATTTGTAAATATTAATCCCAACTTTGTTCCATTTTCTTTTAATAATCCCAACTTTGGATTATTCTAGAATAATCCCAACTTTAGGGGTTGTTTATTTTCTTCAATCCCAAACCGGTCAACAAAATTCAATGACCTGCTATCACATGTTACGTGACACGTGTCACATTGTGATTGGTCTAAAAAATTAAAAAAAATAAAAAAGAAAAAAAATTTAAAAAAAATGAAACCCCCACCCAGCCCCTCCACCACCGCCCACCGGTTTCCCAAACCCCAGCCGCCCCTATCCACCTTAACCCACCAGAAAACTTACCCAACCCCATTTACCCCACCGGCAAACCCAACCCAACCCTCCCATCGGCCAGCCGCCACCACCTGCCTTACCGTTCACCCCCTCTCTCTCCTCGAAACAACTAATAAAAACCTCCTTTGCGGCTTCAAATAGTTCAAAAGCCCACGAAACCCTTTCCCCCGCCCACGAAACACCTGTCTCAAGAGATTCGAGGGTTGAGGGAGGGGTTTCGTGGGCTTTTGGAGCGGCGGGGGAGGTTTTAAATGCTTGCATCAAGGAGAGAGTGGGGGTTTTCGGGGATGTGATTCAAGGGGAAGGAAGGGGAGGGGACGACGGGACAGGAGGAGTGGTGGCAAGGCGGCAACGGGAGGAGGGGATGTGGTTTTCCGGCGCGGGAAAGGATTGGGGTTGCTAGGGTTCCGGTGGACGGTGAGGGCTGGGGTGGTCAGGGAAAGGAAGAGGCTGGGATTTTTATTTTTTTAATTTTTTTTGCTTTTTTTTATTTTTTTGGCTAATTGGATCTCAACACGTGGAAATATAAAGAGAAAAAAAGAAAATAACCTTTTCAACCGGTAACCAGTAAAAGGGATTGAAGAAAATAAACAACCCCCAAAGTTGGGGTTATTCTAGAATAATCCAAAGTTGGGATTATTAAAAGAAAATGGAGCAAAGTTGGGATTAATATTTACAAATTTTCCAAAAATAAATTGTTAGGCAAAGACTTTCAAAAAAAGCAGCAGTAGTGAACTTCAAGGAGCTTGTGTGTAAGCCTTTCTCTTCCTCCCCCTTGTGTTAGGTTGCTCAGATCTGCAGTCAGCTTGTTGTTTCTTTTTTGCAGCTTCTTTCCTTGCGTTGCAGGTTAATGCATTATGTCCCAATTCCTTACATAGGCTGCACTTGTTGTTCTTATGCCTTTTTCCCTTCCTAGCTTCATTAGGGACCCTCCTTCTCTGTTTTGCTGGTCTCCCTGCACTTCTCTAGACTATAGGAGGAGCAATTTCTGAGACATCAAACCCTGGCCAGTGAGTAGGATCTGCCATGGGATGGATATGGTCTCCATAAGTCATTTTATATGCTGCCCCCTTGAAATATGCAGACACAAAATTAGTTGCTTGTAGTCTCTGGCTGTAAATCACCCTTAGACCATGTTTACAAGGTATCCCAGAACCTTACCATTTCCCACATCCACATGTCATGGTCTTAAGTGTGACAAGGAACTTCAGATGCCCATCCCTAACTTCAAACTCTCCACCCCCACAAGCTGTCACATGACAGAACCTAGAGTCTTCACTCCTTGACTCTAGAATACCTTTTGCATACTCTGTTAGTTGATTAAGCTCCATGTCAATAGCTTTGTCAAATCTAGCTCCAATCCTCTTCATACACCAGTTTCTCACAGCTGGTTTACACCACACATCAACACAAAAGCCAAACACCACAATTACTAACAAGCTACAGCATGCTATGTTGAGGAAATTAAAGCAGAGGAGAGGAAATTTACCTTCCAATAATGTCAAAACAGGCATATCTCTGTGTGGTTGTGTGCATGAATTGAATGATTCCACAAAGTTAGTTGTGTTATGATCACAACAAACCCTTCTGCCAAATGTATGGACTGACCATTGCTCCTCAATAGCTCTAAGGTACTTCTCTACTTCTTCATTATACTTCTTTATTTTGGACATTGCCTTTTCAAAGACATATTCATTGTAGGCATTGGCAGCAACCCAGAACAAGTTGTGAAAGGCATTCCCACTCCAGCCTTTGTTCTTGCAGTTTGAGTAAAGATGCTGGCAACAAATTCTCCTTGTTGCTCTTGGAAAAACCTCAAACACAGCTGAGTCAACACCCTTCCAAAAAAACATATTAAGTAGTTAGTTTTTGCTGGTAACATGTAAACAAAAAACAAGACAAAAGGATGTCTAGTTGCTTACCCTCATTCTGTCACTAATGAATGTCCAGTCATCTTTTTCACATCCATGTTGCTGAAACAAAATTTTGAGATTCCTGAAGAAATAGGCCCAGGTCTCTATGCTTTCTGTTGAAACCAAACCATATGCAATGACAAATATCTCATTGTTGCCATCAATTCCTACTGCAGTCAGCATTATGCCCTTATAATAGCCACTAAGATGTGCACCATCAATGCCTATTATGGGTCTATATCCACCCAAGAAACCCTTCACCTGAGCTGCAAATGAGATAAAACATGCCTTGAATCTAGATCCTTCATTACCATTGTCAGTCCAGGTAATTAGTGCATGGGATCCTATATTAGTTTCTTTAATCATCTCAACATACTTGGGTAAAAGTGCATATGATTCAGCAAAACCCCCATGAATTTGCACCCTAGCTAAGGCCTTGACTTTGTAGAATAACCTGAGCTTCACATTAATCCTGTATCTTTCCATGCAAACTCTTTGCAATGAATCCACTGGAATGTCAGGATTTGCTTCCAAGTCCTGCATCAAGTGTCTTCATAGCCATGCTGATGACACCATGGGATTTTCTTCAAGCCTCCCACAAGTGGTGTGCTCCTCTTCTAGCTTCTTGATAGCCCAACTGACTTTATCAGTCAGAACTGAGGCATGAATCCTCCATGTACAGGTATTAATCAGACAACTTGTTGTGTATCTTTGACTGTCAGCATAGTCAACTGAGACAGCAAAGCCCTCTTGTATACAATAGTCCCTAAACACCTCAAGGAACTGTTTTTTGCTCTAAAAAATCAGCCATGGCTCAAGGTGAATAGACCCAAATGGTAAATGAGACCATATTCTGCCATTCTTGTACATTTTGTCTAACACATGGCTGCCATCAAGATAATCCTCAAATGTCTTGGCTGGAATATTATCAGCAAGGTCTTCCTCTTCCACAATGAATTCATCATCATGGTCCAATTGCATATCCACTTCATCTTCTGTGTCTGATGCCACATAATCCTCATCTTCACTATCTTCTGAACCCATCCTATCAGAAGATTCATCACTCTCACAAACAGTCACCGGTTTCTTATTCCTAGTACCCACCACCCTCCCTGATCCAGCACCACTCCCCCCTTTCTTTTTCCCTACAAATGTACCATACTTATTGGTTGTACTCCTAGGCACCCTCCACTCACTTGGTTTAATTCTTGTATGGCCTTTGCTTGACCCACTCCCATCAGTAGGGATGGCAATTCTAAATGGATATCCGCAAATCCGATCCACCCGAAAAAAATAAATGGACGAAAATCCGCATTAAATGGATGAAGGGCGGGTGACGGATGAAGCGGGTGACGGATGAAGCGGGTGACGGATCGGGTCGGATTCGGGTGGGGCTCTATTTCATCCGTCACCCGATCCGTCATCCGTTTATCACCCGATCCGCAGTCTATTCGTATAAATATAAAAAAAAATCCCAATTTTCTTATATACTAGTATACTACACTATGTATGTACTGTATATTTCTAAAAAAAATAAAAAAAATATTCTAAAAATTCATTAATTTTTTTTAAAAAAAATATAAAACCTCCCTCAATTCCCAATTATGTAGTACCGAAATAAGTTCATGATTCCGTTAAAAAAAAAGTAAGTTCATGATTATTATTATTGCTATAGTTTTGAATGAAAATTTAATTAATGGTTTACTTTTTAAGTTTAAAATTGGCTAAAAGTTTTTTGTTTTTTTTTTATTCTAACGTATTAGATTTCATAGTTAGAGTAGGATTATAATTATCACCCGTTAAGCATCCGATCCACCCGTTTCATCCGCTAATGATGGATGGATCGGATGCGGGTGATGGGTTTTGCGGGTGACGGGTGGATCGGGTGGAGCGGATGATTAATTCGGGTGGATGCGGGTAGAGTTCCATCCGACTCGAATCCGGTCCGTTGTCATTCCTACCCATCAGTCCTGGGTGGATGTGAAGGTTGATGAGATGGGGTAGGTTCCCTGGGTTGAACTGAAGGTTGATGAGATGGGGTAGGTTCCCTGGTTGGAGAAGGTATTGGTGGGGTAGGTTCCCTGGTTGGAGAAGGTATTGGTGGTTTAGGATGTCTAACTGGAGTGCTTGGTGGATTTGGTATAAGGTTATTTGGTGAGTGAATAGGGGTTGGTGTTGGTGGTTGATATTGTTCTTGGTCAGGATTTGTAGGTGGTGGTGTAGGATCCCTAGGTGAAGAAGGTTGTTGTGGAGGCTGGGTAGACTTGTTCTTTTTCTTCCTAGGTGTCACTTTATTTCTCTTAGGAGTTTTTTTTGTTGGAGTTGGAGTAGGTTCTTTGGTTTTTTCAATTGGTGTTGGTGTAGGCTGTTTATGTGGGGGTAATTCTTTTTGTGATGGCTCAGGTTGTGATGCTCCAGGGAAGATCTCATCAGAGGCTGGAGTGTTAAAGATTCTAACATAATTAACCCTACTTTCCTCTACATCCAATACAGGAACTTCTACAGCTACAGTGAATTGCTCCTGTTCTCTAAGTTGTCTCTCAGCTTCTTCTTTCTCTGCCTCTCTCCTAAACCTATCAGCCTTTTCTTGTAACCTTTTTGCCAAATTAGCTTCATCAGACTTTAAAACCTATGATGGTTCATCTATTTCCTCAATAAAAACCTCAATCTCCTCTTTCCCTTCATTCCATTCCCACATTTTCAACATAGCCCCATCATCCACCAACTCTAGCCTACGGTTAGTTCTAGGTTTATTAACAACCATGGTGAATGATTTAGGAAGGTAAACATTGTGCTTAACTGATTCCTCTAACATGTACTCAAATAACTCCATCAAATTAGTCTTATCAGTGTCATCCACCCTAACATCAAAAGCATCACTCCTATAACGAGCTAACAGCCACAATGCACTCATCCTAAGAAACATAATAATCACATACAACAATTCGCATTAAATTACAGCAAAGCAAAACTAACACTATAGCAATTTCGCAAAATATACCCACCATCACATGCAAATACACACTTTCTAAAAAAACCCAAACCCTAAATCAATTTCGCAAAAAAAAAAAAACATAATCAGAACTCGAAATGAAGATAGAATAACAACATTTTACCTTATGTAAGCGAAATGTAACCCGCTTCCTGAGTTTGTTGGAGTTTCAGTCACAATCAACAAAAAAAAACTTCAGCCACCGACGCGATCTTGCGATTCTGGTTCAATCTCAAGCGCTCAAGTACTTTTCTCCGCCAATAACGCCTAAAATCTTCAAAAGATTGAAGCTTTTTTTTATCAATTTTAAGGGTTTAAGTGTAATGAATTACAGAGAGTGCGAGAATGGAGAAGATGAAGCTAAGGGTCAAGTTTTTCGAACTGTACTGTGCTTTTTTGGAAGAGTCAATGCTTTAAATGGCATCATTAAAGAAGTAAGGGCAATTTAGTAAACTAACACAAACGACATGCTAATGTCTGTTAAAAAAAATTTGGCATTTTGTGACATGATAAGTCGTATATTGAGCGTGTTTTTAGAGTTCATTTAGGTAGTTTTCAAGCTTAGATTAATTGTTCATAGCTTATTTTAGCTTGTTTTGATTTGGTTGTGTTCATGTTGTGCTTTTATGGGTAGTTTCGTTGTTTTTGATGTATTTCAGGATGAACGAGACTAATTTGGATGGTCACGAGAGTTTGTTAAGATGGAAGAGTGATGATACCCGTGTCCGCCCTGGCAGGGCAACATTGCCCTGGCAGCCAGGGCAAAGGAAGGAGAAGAGAAGAGCAAAGTAGTACATAGATGTATCTTACCCCCATCGCCTTGGAGGGCAACATTGCCCTGGAAGCCAGGGCGAAGAAGAAAAGGAGTGAAGAATTCAACTCCCATCCGCCCGGACCGGGCGGCATTGCCCTGGAAGACCGGGCGGGCAGAGTATTGTGCGAGGAGGCGAGTTTGTGTGTCGCGCCCGACCGGGCGGCTTTGCCCAGTCTGACCGGGTGGAGTTTCACGAGGCCCGTTTTCTTATTTTTCGGGATTTCTTAATTAAGGGATATAAATACCCATTGTAAACCCCGATAAAACATACTTAGTTATTATATTCTAGCTTTTAAACCTTCATTAGAACCCTAATATTCTCTCTAGATCTAGATTACATTTCACTTTCAAGTTTTAATCTTTATTCATCAACAATTGGTACTTTTCTTCATTCAAGCAATTAGTATTCATCTTTAATTCTTCTTTTACTTTTAATTGCTTATTAATCATGTTTTCTTCATTGAATATTGTTTTTTCTTTCGTTAATATGTGTGAGTAGTTTCTTTATTCCAAGATCTAGCGGATCCCGAATATGATTAATGCATGATTTAATTCTTTAAATTCTCTAATAATAATTGTAATTCATATGCTTAATTGATTATGCTTATGCCAATAATAGATTAGGGATAATTGGTATTGTTATTAATCCTTTGTTTTAATCGCAACGGGAGTTGGGTTTTGACGGATTTGGATAAATCAATTAAGGGTTTGAAGTTCATCACGGGAGCAGTTGAATGGATGATTAGGAAGTTAGAGTAATGTGCTCAAGTTCTTTAATTTACATGATTCCACGGAAGTAGGCATGATTGTGATTAGAGAAGCCATTGATAACTTGAGAGAGACCATTGGTATTATTCATGGATTACTTTTCCTCATTAATCAATTGAATTATGTGTTAGGGGTAGAACGACTATTGCATTAATTGTATTTGTGGTGAAGCTTGATCTTGGATGTTTTTAGCATTGATTTGTCATATTGTTTTGATTTAATCGTTTTAATTAGTTCTTTAGTTATTGATTCTCATTCATTTGATTTGGTTACTTGCTTAGTAATTGCTTGAGTCTATTTAATTAGTTGAACCATAGTCTCTTGGGATCCGACCCTTGCTTGCCTGTCTACATAGTAGTGGTCTAGTTAGGTTTATCTTTGTTAGGTAAGCGACACGCCTATCATGACATTTTGTATAAAGTGATTGGTAATTGGTGAATTTGAAAAAAGTTGATGGTATTTGGTGAATTTTGTTTAAACTTAGTGGTATTTGGTAAATTTCCGTAGATTCTAAGTCTGTAAGATAGTGTATGACACTTGATTAATTTGCCTAATTGGGTGAAACCCATTGTAAGCAAAACAGACAAGAAAGAAAAACGTTTTCTAACTAAAGTAAAGATTTGTTAGAGGATTCAACAAATTCATATTATGACTATGATTACGATAAAACCTTTACATTAGTCATGTTGCAAAGATCTATTAAAATACTCTAGTGATTTCTACCTTATAAGATTTGGTAGATGGATTTCAAAACGCTTTCTTGAAATTGTTCATGAAATAAGATTTGTATATGATACAATCAAAAGTTTGAAGATCCAATAATCCTAGGGATGCATGGCATCATGGAGTAGTGTTCTTAATTTTGTGATTTAATCAAATCGTTTGATGTTCTCGTAAAATGAAGGAAAGGTCTTGTATATACAAGTTGTTTAGTGGGAGCTATGAAATCTTCTTGGTTTAGTACAAAGAGCAATTATTCGTTGCTTGAATAGTCAAGTGATGGTTAATGCATTTTGTATGAAAAACCTTGGAGAGGATGATGAGTACATTAGGGTTTCAAGATCTATAGAGATAGATAGGTTTCGAAGGATGGTTGATCTTGGTTAAGAAGCTCATATTGATAATATTCTTATAAGGTTCAACATTATATTGAAAGGAGTTTCAATCCCGTAACATGGCATATTGATTAATGATTCAATGCTTTGAGAAAGGTTGGTGAAATTAAGGTTTTGAGTGATTCTCCTTATGAATTTTGCAAAGGATGCATCATGAATGTTGTGGACTATACTCGTCTATTTGATTCACGTGTTTTAAGAACAAGTGATTTCAATCGAAAACCAATGTGATGTTGGAATGCAAATTAGAAATTCCTAAGTTCTTTGCGAAAGAGGCAAAGGAAAATTCTTAGTGTATGGATGTGAATATTATTATAAATTTATAAATTGCAAAATTCATGTTTATGAGAATGTCTCATGAACTCTACTTACTAAACCCCTTCCATGACCAAGGTATGAGAGTCATACTAAGGTTCTTGGATTGAAGCAAGTTATGTAATTTAAGTTGTGTATGTTTTAAGAAAACATGTCACATAAATACATTAACTTGTAGAATTATATTTATCAATTGAAACAAAGTTTCAATCTTATTTAATTATGGTTTTGATATTAAATAAAATGTCCAAAATAATTATGAATTGATGGGCTCATCAGGTTGATGACCTGGTGAATGAAACCCCACAGGTGAACTAAATTCATACATTATTTAAGTTCCTAGTTCGGAATCATTAAAATGGACATAAATTATTTCTATTAATGGACTAGCATGTAAGATTGATTGGATAGCACAGTTTGATGGGCTAAAGGAGCGTAGTGATGCTCGGTTAATCACATGGATATGCATGAATGATGCATGATCGAACTATAGACCTACTTTGAAGTTCAAGTATAGAGCTTTCAGATATATTAGTGGATTCCTTTGACATGAATGGAACATTGATTTCATTCAATGGATGTTATGGCAGGTGCACTCAAACGTCTGCCCGTAACTGGATATTATAAAGGGTGTTTCCCGGTTATTTCAGAAGTTGAGTGGGAGCTCTGGTTGCCACAAGATTGGATTGAGTCTACCTATTTAATTAGGTGTGTCTTGGCCCCTTGAAGAGGGAGAATTCTGAAAAATGCATGGCCGTGCTCAAATGGATTACATAGTAATCATTTGTTTTGTGAATCTAACTCAGTTTTTCAAGAAAATATTTGTAGATTAATATGATCACGACATGAGATGCAATCATATTATCAAATCGACACACATTGACTTAAGGAAAATGAATATTGCGCACTTGTCTCAGACAAGTGAGCGATTGAAGGAATTGTGTATTCGATAAGTGCAATTACTAGATATATCAAGGATCCCTATTATGGAGATAATAAGTTCGTTCTCTTGGGTCGTCATCATCTGTTGCTAGACTATGAGCGATGATCTTTGGACTAGTCAAATAGTCCAAAGCCCGCTAGAATGGATCCTATCAGGTCACACACAAAGGTATTGGGTTAAGCAAATTAGAGGCCCATTAATGGGCCTCATGAGCAATTAACTAATCATGAAATGGGCTGGGCTAGCATAGTTAGATCAAAATTAGGTTTTGGGCTTTTGACATGGGCTCTTATTTAGAGATGAGATCTATAAATAAGACCCATGCCTAGGGTTGCAAAAAAGCAGTCATAATCAACTTACAGTAGATTTTGACATCAAGGCAACCAATCCCAAAACCCTAATTCTCTCTCTAACTTACGACCCTCACTCCCCTCTTCATCCGTACGGCCGTCCACCCCTAGATGGCGCGTATGGTGTTCGTGGTGGTTCATGGTTGGTTCGTTGCTCGCACTTCTCCATAGAAGGTCAATTGAAGGGTTCAATTGCAACTAACTAGCATTAGTGGAGGTCTTAATCCGTGACCGTGGACCAAGTAGAGGAATCACGCTTGAGGTTTTTTATCTCCCATTGTTCTTGCTCGATCGCACGTGAAATCACGCTTCAAAGGTATAATTACTTGTTCTTTATGTGTTGTGCATTAGATCTTTGGATTAGGTACTGTATGAGTATGATTCATGTTTTTCCGCAATTAGTACCTATAAACTCCTACATAAAGGTGGGATTATTAGATTTCATTTTTCCTAAAAGAAAACATAGGAATTATATTCCATTTAAATTACGAAGTATTTATCATGACTCAAATACCCATTATATTAAATCACCTTGTGCCCTTGTTCGTACATTTCACGCTTGATTTTTACTTGTTTAATTTTTTTTTACTAGGAATAGAAACAAAATTGATATTTTAGAATCTGTTAAACAATTAAGGCATGAGTCAGGACTTAGGCAGCATGCATATTCTTAATCCTTACATGAAATTGGTCCGCTTTGGCATGACTTTGTCGAAAGTCCGACACGACAAAAATTTGTCGATGAGTTTTGAGCCGTACATGAACATCATTTTTGACATATTACATAAACATACCACGAGTACATCGTTCCAATCCGCACCAGCCTAATTTTTAACTAATTAACAAAATGTCTAAAAACTGTCAAGGAATCTCATAGACACATTACTGGCTTACTGCACACAAACCAGGTTGTGCATTGGTCTTGTTTGTAAAAGATTGACATGACACAACTTTTTTCTTAACTCAGTTTCATTAAGAACAGGAAGAATCTAATTAAAAACATACCTCCCCCCCCCCCCCTCGCACAAAAGATGAGTGTTAGGCTGATGACAAACTTTGTAACAAACAACATCTACCCGATACCAAACGACACCTAACCCAAATCATACCGGAATCCAAAACTCTACAACCCTAATCCAACCCTAATATGACCAAGTCCATTGTTCGATTACGACAAAGCACCCTACAAGAAATTATTTTCCTCTTATAATTAGTTATGATAGACTCTAATAACGCTTTGTTAGCATTGATTTTTGCTTACATGATATCAAAATACTTTTTCATTAATACCGATAAAAGAAAACTGTTTTGTTCATATCATTAGATCTCTTTGGTGCCTTGCTGATATTAATAATACCATCTAAATAAAGTCTTACTTTAATTATTAGAGACTGAGAAATGCTCGTCATCATACACTCATCAACACCTTGAACTCGTTCACACACACACCCTAATTGGTGTATTGTCATTCGATCACTTAATTCTTTCATTCATTCATTACGAATACTAAAACCGAAAAAAGACGGCTTGGCCTTTCACAACAAGATTCTGACTAAAGAGGATTCTAGTCCAACAGAAGGACTCAGTGAAGAAATGAACACGTGAGGGTGGTGAGGTGTCGAAACAGGGATACGTTATAGTGTCCGATTAATCCTACAAACATGCCACGAATCATACCAGTTTTTTCAGAGGTTGTTAAAATCTTATACTTTTATGACATTTTTGCCCCTACACTATTTCTATAAATATCTTATTGCATTTCACCCTTTTCCTGCTGCCTTTTGCTTGCTATTCTAGGGACATCTCTTTGCATAAATAATATTTCTTATTTCTTGTGAGTAATTTAAATTAATTATTTTCAATTTAAAGGAAGATTTAGAAAAACAGGGAAATTTCAGATTTTTCCACCATTTCAATTCTTATCAGCTACAAATGGAGTCCCAACTTTCTGAAAGGTCAGTTTATCATCTTATATATGCACCCCATTTTTCTGTTATATATCTTCTTGTTTTTTTTTTAGTATATTGCTATATATCCATGTTGTTTAGTTCAAATTACAATATTAACATGACATGCTATTTAGCTATCTTCTTATAAAGATTGTCAAGGGTTTGGACATAGGTTAGAGAAGACTAAATTTGGTAATTTAGCAACAATATGTAAATTGTTCAATTCTTTAATGCAAAAAAAGTACCATTCAAGGTCAAATGGTCCTTTCCGTGAATATGATCCTGTTATAATTCAATTAGGATCAAATCTAAATTTTCTCCCCTTTTCTTTTGCGATTAAGTAGGTGAACCTGATCACATACTAGTTCTGTAGGGGTTAGTGGCGAATGCATGTAAGCAAGTAAGGTTCCTTGACCCCTGACCCCACTAGAACATGTAAAAAGAATTTATCACATTAATGTATTTTGACCCTGTTAAATATTTTTTTTTTTTTTTTTTTTTTTTTGGATCTGTTAGTAGTTGGATTCAATCTTAAATTTACTATTGTTAGGTGGATACCCTCTAGTGAATCTCGTCCCATACAACTTCAATTTGGATCCAATCTTTTTTTTTTTTTTTTTCTTATCATACGGGGCAACTCCTCACGCAAAGTTTTTTCCCATCTCCACGATAGTATACGTAGATATAGAAATTTTATTTGCTCAAAGTTGTTGCACTAAGTTGGTGCTTAGGAAAAATATGTAGCTTAATAAGTTTTGTGCTTGGATTTGAGCTAATGCTTGCTGTATAGGATAGAGTATTACTTTGCGTATTGTTAGAGTAACATAGTATTTGTACTACGTATTAAACTGAATCTTCATTTTCCTTTATCCGCAAATACTAGTATAATGGTATAAGTATGCTTCATACGAAACCCTTGAGCAGATTTCATGGAAAATTTTCTTTAAGAGTTTCATTTTTCATCAGTATGATTTGCCTTTTAAGATATGTGAATTGGTTGTTCTATATGGGTGCTTACAGGACATATATGAATGCACGAAGACGGCGCAATGGCTACAACTCTGTAGCAGAGATTATAGAAAAATGGAAAATCCAAAATCAACATTTTGGTTCAACCGTAGTAGAACTGAAGAAGAGCACCCGAAAGGGTCCAGCAAGAGGGTCAAGAAAAGGGTGTATGCCGGGGAAAGGCGGTCCTGAAAATTTGGGGTGTACATTCAGAGGAGTAAGACAGAGGACTTGGGGCAAATGGGTAGCAGAAATTCGTGAACCCATCAACAACAAATCTACAGGATATGGTAACAATCAACAAAGTAAGCGTAGTAAAAGGTTGTGGCTTGGTACTTTCTCTACCGCCGTAGAGGCAGCCTTGGCTTACGATGAAGCAGCCAAGGCTATGTATGGCCCTTCAGCGATCCTCAACTTTCCTCTTCAGAGTGAAGAGCATGAAGATCAAGTTTTGTACGGCTCAAATATGCAATCAACAGCTTCCGAGTCTACTGAAGGGTCAGAGCATTACAAAGGATTCAATGAAGAGCTCAAGTCGCCTTGTGTCTCCCAAGTGACAGATGGTGGTGGAGCTAAAGAAGAATCTGCGATGGGATCAAATTCGAGTGACGGGAGTTACTTGAATTTAGGGTTTGATTACACCCATGACTGGGTGATGGAGCCACTAGATGGGTTTGGGGGTGGTAATTATGGGCTGAAGCAAGAAGATGAGTATGAGTTTGGTCAGCAGGGATTATTTTTCAGCGACTTTTTGTTTCAACAAAGCAAGTCATCAGATGTAATGCCGAGCTACAAGATACAGCAGCCTTTGAGTGGACCTTTAGGAATTGATTTTATCAGTTCTTCAGATTTTTTAAGGCCTAATACCAATATTGATGGTCTACACTAGAAGGCAACAACACAGGCAAAATTGAGCTCATACCATGAGGAGCAACGTTCAATTACGGTTTTTTTCATGCTTAAGAGTTTTTTTGGGGCTGCTTCCCGCGATTGAGTAGAGGAGTTGACCAAAGTTTCACTTTTTAGGATCAATAGATTAAACTTGGTAATAAGGTTTGGTAATGCAAAGGATTGAAATGTGTTGGATTTTTACCCTTCTCTGAGTTGGAGAGGTTTTTTTACCACATAACTGGTCCTATTACATGAAGGGGTTATAACACCCGGCTTACTATTGTTCAACTATTCTCTTTAATTTCAAAGTTTGTATCTGATTTTGTAACATCAGCAACCTTTAGCGATTAGATCATGATAAACTTAAGTGTTGAATTAGCGATGTTTATAGAAGGCCACATTGAACATGAACAACGATAGCTAGAACTTGATCTCACGTCCTGATTCCTGAATACCACCACTGCCCGGAATTCCGAGCAGGCTGTTCTGCATCCACACACATTCTAATAAGTAATCTATATTATTCCTGAAACCAAAGACGACGAGGAGCATTAGTTACGAAGGAAGATGTGGCCATCTTAAATACGGCAATTAATTTTTTGAATGGATAGGACATAGGAGGTTAACCCACTAAAACGATGTACTGCATACATTAGCAGAACAGTATAATAGACATTAAAAGCATATATAACAAGTTGCATCTCAGTTCATATTTAGCAAATGGATAACCTACAAAAGCAGACCCCAAGAAGTGGATGTATCTGAGCTCGTCAACTGTACAATTGACCAAACCAAAATGTAATCTTCCACTTATACCCACAAAATATCAATGCTCTTTTCAATCCAATTGCAACTACAAAGTATCTGCCATTACTTTCGGCCAATCGAAGTACTGCTAGAATGCATCTGCACAAGCATTGGTAGAATGCTGGCGTTTCATTTACAACACGGTTGTCCTTCAACTGAAATAAGGGTGAAGAAATCAAATGCAGATCTCAATAATTACTGAACGGCACAAGGCAGCCATGATGGCTGCTGCCAAAACACAAATTGCCGCATATCCATGATTCATCTAGCATAAAAGATAAGGCACATCATCTTAACAGCTTGAAAGACGTACTTTGACCGATATATCTTTTTAAACATCCCAATGCTACACTCACATTAAGCATAAAGGACAATGTCCTGATTTCCAATGACCATTCAAACCTATTAGGGGAAAAGGGGGGAAGGGGAGGGGGGATAGACAAAAAAGGTACTGGCTGTAACTTGGTTATATGTAGGAATTATAAATTGCAAGACTTGTTCGGGTAGCATATAAAAGGAATTCTCAAATCCCAATGGAAGTTTCAATTATCTAAGGGGAGACTAGGTAAACGATATCCTCCATTTTGTGGAAAGTGGTTCCTGCGAAATTGCAAACCAAACAAATGCAAAAATACTACGTATTTACTTCCTTAAGTTGGGACTGTTAACTAACAATTAGCTTCTAGTGCAGTACAGGTGCATACATGCAGGTTATAAGTGTGGTTTGGACTACGGAGAATCCACTCATGATATACTGCTACTCTAAGCAATGATGACTACAAGTTTCCAGCATAGAGTGGAAAAGGCAGCCTGAAATCCTGAATACCAACTTACTTCAATAGTTTCAGCAACCCATCATTGCAGCACACTTAATTCAATTCTACAGCAAACAATGAGTTCCCAATCCGGAAGGATGTTACTAAATAAATAAATAAATAAAAAATAAAAAAATAAAAAAGAGAGAGAGAGAGAGAGAAGAGGATGTTCCCTTATCAGGAAGTCCGTAGCAACTTACAATCACTTTTGGCAATTTCCAAGTATCAAATACAAAGTTTATATGTTTAACTTTGGGATTATGATACATGTATGAATGATCATATGGAGATTGATGACTGCAAATAATCTAGTTTGGCCTACCCTCTTGATGCTTATTTCGTTAACTTCACTTACATTTAAATTCAATAGGGGTGTTTGGGAACCAGCTTTTCAGCAGGCTTTTGGCTTTTGGCTTCTTCAAATTGGTCAAACAGCCAAAAAACATGTTTGGTTAGTGGCTTTTTTAACTGGCTGAAAAGCTGGCTTTTAAGCCAAAAGCTAGTTGGAGCAGCTTTTGGCTTATGGCTTTTGGCTTGTTGACATATAATTAACTTTTGATAATTAATAATTAATAATTAGTAATTACTAATTAATAATTACTAATAATTAATAATTAATAATAATTAATATTTTTTTAAAACATAAATTATTAGTATTTAATAATTAATAATTAATTATTATCATTCAATAATTAGTTTTTAATAATTAGTATTAAAATGGAGTAATATAGAATTATTAGAATTTATAACCAATAATTAATTAATTTAAATTATAACTAATTATTATTAAATTATTGTAAACTTATTGTAACTAATTAATAATTAATTTACAATTATAATTACCAATAATTTATTATTTTAATTAATATTAAAGTACTATATTAGTTCATTAGTGTTGATATAGTTTAACAACAGCTAGACCCAACAGCCAATTTACCAAACACTACAACTCTAGTCAAACAGCCAACTCAAAAGCCAATCTAAACAGTCAGTCAAACCAGAAAACTAAAACAGCCAACAGCCAATTGCCAAACAGGGCCAATATCTACAAATTCTTGCTCACTTGACTAATTATATCTTCCCTTGCATATACCTTCAATCTCTCTAATCCTTTCTACCCTCTTGGACCTCAAATTCCCTTAAAATCAGCTAAATAGGACAAAAGCTCAGCTTTAAGAAACTGCCATGGAACTTTGCGAAGAACTACCATATAAATGACGAGTTTTGAGAACAACTAACATTTAAAACCTTTTTTTTTTTGAAAAAAACTACCACAAAAACATAAAAAGCTTGTGTAACACTACAAGGTTTTCGACTAAAATCTCCGATTATGGGGCCCTAATCTCTTCATTTCAATCAATTCAAGGTGAGCGAAGAAGAAAAATTGTTTGGCGAACTCGATTGAGATAATGTATATCTAATTTGCCTTGTAATTGACATAATTTCTCAAATGAATTTTCAAATTAGGGTTAATGGTAAAAAAATTGAAATTGGGGGTTTCTGAAATAGGGGATTTGAGACAGTTGTTCTTTATTATCTAATCTAGGGTTCATTACTCTTTTTTATTTTATGTATTCACAGCAATTAATTGACTTCAACCATGAGGAGATTAGGGTTTTAATTTTTTTTAACATTAGCAAAAAGGGAGAAACGAAGATTAGAAGTTATAAATAGAGGAGAGAAAAATAATTTTAGAAGGGAAATACTAATGGTGGGCCCCACAGCAGGAGATTCTAGCCGCAAAACTTAATAAGGGAGTGTTAATCAAACATTTTACTACCTCGGTTACATATTAGTTGCAACTTTCACCTTGGCACGGATTTTAAGACAAAATTTCATAATAGCTGATTAATGAATCAAACAATAGATAATTAAGGATAGGAGAGAGAAAGTGAAGGTAATTAAAAAATTAACCACCACCACCAACAACAGCCACCCCGCAACCGTCGCCCAACAGCAGCCACCCTGCCATCGTCGCCCAACGGCCTGAAAACACCTCCTCTCAGCCGGAACCACCCAGAAACCACCCACTCGCAACTTCTAACAACCTAGAAACCACCCACACGCACATTAAACAACCCAGAATCCATATTTAAGTGTAGATCTGAGGATTTTTTGAGGTTTTGAGAAGATTTCGTGACGAACTTGTGGGTTTTGTGAGGATTTCGTGGGTTTGAGAGCGATTGTGAGGAAATTCGTGACAAACTCGTGGGTTTTGTGAGGATTTCGTGGGTTTGAGAACAATTGTGATGAATTTCGTGGGTTAGATCAAAGTGCAATTGTAAGGAATTCGTGGGTTAGACGCTAGATTGAGGTATGAGAGTGAAATTCATGGAGGAAGGAAAGAGAAACTCTTGGAAGAAGAAGAACCACTCATGGAAGAAGAAGAACCCAGAAGAACTACGGTATTGAAATTTCACCAAATCTGGAAAATAGCAATGAATTGGTTTGATTCATTGAATGATGTTGGTTCCATTTTTTTTTTTTTTTTGAAGGGTGAATGAAGTTGGTTGGTGAATAATTAATTTGTTGAGAATCATTAATTTAATGACTTTGGGTTAATGGTTAAGGTGATCAGATTATAATAGGTAATTGAGATTATGATTTTTTTAGTAAGGGTAAAGTAGTAATTTTATATGAAAAAATTTACCAAAAAAAGAAAGAAATAGATAGTTGCAACTAATAGGTAGCACCCCTAAATGGCAAAAGTTGCAACTAATATGTAACGGAGGTAGTATGTTTTTTGTGGTAGTTTTTTCAGAAAAAAGTTTTAAATGGTAGTTGTTCTCAAAACTCGTCATTTAAATGGTAGTTCTTCGCAAAGTTTCCAAATTGCGGTCTACTCTAATGGTTTTTTCATATGTGGACTCCAGCTTCAGATGTCACATCAGAACTGGGCACGGGAATCTATTTCTGCAGAATGTTACAGAATTCTGTTACTACAGTTAAAAGCAGTACATCAAAAACTCCCTGTTCTGGAACATGAACAAAGTGGAACTAATTTGACAAAAAATGCAAGGTAATGTTGATAACTCCAACAGGCAACAGTAAAAGGTAGCAAGCCAGCAACAGAATGTCAGTCTCAGCAGAAGACGGTATAAAGAAACTTTAAAGAGATTTGGAAAACATGTTCATTAAGTAAACAAATTATCTTGGGCCTAAGTCATCCCTATTTGGTGGAACAATGCAAGTAGCAGAAGGCTATACTCAAAACTGTAATCAGGCAGATTAAGACATTCTGGTGAATGTCAGACAGAATCGGTATTTACACCTACAAAATACAAATGAGAAGCTAAATCCTCCTATTTGCCACATTCAGCGCCCATCATGGTCACAAAATAAATTCAAAAAAGAAAACTGCAAAAAAAAAAAAAAAAAAAAAAAAAAAAAAAAAAAAAAAACACTCACTAAGACTTTTTATACTTCCTCCGTTTTTTCTTTTATTGCACCATAAGGACTTTTACACTATTCATATAATCTTCTTTGACCATTTTTTGTCATTTATCTGTAAGGAAAAACATAATCATGTGGGAACTAGTGTGGTTCGTTTCGAAATCTACTTTTCATGTATCAATTTTTTTTATAAATTTTACAGAAGTATTATTAAAGATGTTAATAGGCAAAGTAATGCATTGGCAAGCCTGAAATCACTCATTGTCAAGTGAAATCCACGACACTTAACACGGGCAAAGACAATGAATTCTCTCAATGTTCAAAGACACTAATTTATATCCCACCAAAATACTGATTTCAACTTTATTTATTTTTTTTTTAAAAAATGATTAATAAAGAAAGGGGGTAAGGATCCAAGGATAAAAAAAGCCTTACCTTTATAGTTGGAGCCATTTTGCTCATAAAGTGTTTAATGAGATTTCCAAACTTCACATTCCAACCCTCCTTAATAACCTCGATGAGACTATGACCCCTTGCTTTCTATCTGCAACTAGGGGTGAGCAAAATATCGCGAGTATCCAATTTTGGAGATGGAACCGTTTTGGACCCAACAATTCCAAACCTAGAATTGGTTCTCTCGGATTTGGTTCTCGCTCCAAACCAGACCTTAGATTTTGGAACTGGTTACAAAAACGGTCTTTACTTTTTTACAAATACAATATATGAGCCCATGTTAAAAAAATAAAAAATAAATAAATAAAGGCCAATCTAATTCTATAAAGTTGTATCTTTAAAAAACCATATATATATATATATAATCCTTTAAAGTTGTATCTTTAAAAAAACCATTAAAAAAAAATCACTTTCAATCCCCAAGCCAGTTGTCACACATCACCCAACCCCCTCAAATTCTTTCTCTTCATTTTCGATACTCCACAATATACTTCATTTGTTCTTAACTCCAATTTGGAGAATTTTCTTCAAGAATCCTATACTTTTTTTCTTTTCCTTTTCAAAATTTAGATATAAAACTCACTTTTTTCCCTCATTTATTTACTTGTGCAATAAAATTGATGAACGAGATGAAAAAAAGGGAGAAAATATTGTTCATGAAGATGAATCTTTTTACTTTGAAGATAAGTCAAGCTCTCACACTTTTTTTTTTTAGATTTTGGTTTGATTTATTGCAATTTCGAGCTAATATATGTGCGAAATATGATTTTATGTATAATGTGAATCTTGTTTGCTAATTTTATGTTAAGATCTATCATTTTCCTTCTTAATTTTCTTCATTTTTTGTATAATATGTTCGGCCATAATGAGAACTGTCAAGATCTCGAAAAACCAATTTGGATTTATGCCGGGAAGAACAACTGACCGTGGAGGCAACCCATCATATAAGATAGCTAATGGAGATATATTGGGATAAGAAAAGGATTTACATATGGTTTTATTGATTTAGTGAAGGCTTATAATAAGGTACCAAGGGGGATTCTTTGGTAGGCTTTAACAAGGAAAGGTGTTTCACAAAAATATATTAACATCATTAAGGACATGTATGAGGGAGTTAGCACAAGTGTGCGGACCACCGTTGGGAAGACTGAAGAGTTCCCAATTACAATTGGAGTTTATCAAGGTTCAACTCTTAGTCCTTTTCTTTATGCTATAGTCATGAACTAATTCACGCCAATTACAATTCCTGGTCATGCCAATGTCTGCAAGGCGGGGTTCAAGGAAAAATAGCTAGGATGTATGATGTGAACGGCCTCCATTTTATATTTGTGTTCAAGATCCATACTAATTTTGGAGGAGGTAAATCAACTGGATTTGGTTTGATTTACAACTCAAGGAAAGGATGAAGATTCGTGGTGCTAAAAAGGTAAAAGCCATAGAAGCAGGAAAGAAGAAATAAGGATTTAGTGATGTTGAAGATGTTGTATACGTCGTTAGAGAAAATCCCTAGTTGGATTGAAATCAGTTTGTTACATTAAGTTGGCTGTCGGTTTGAAATTGATTTGTAACATAAAATCAGGAGCAACAAGTCAGTTTGTAACATTAAGTCATGTAATAATTCAACCTTTTTTTCACATACAAATTTTTTGTTTTAATTTGATGAGAAAATGTAGGTGAAATTAGGCTTGTTCAAGACATCACAGGTTTGTCAGGTTCCTATGAAGGTGGTGTTTGTTGCGAAGAATAAAATCAAGTGACATCAATATCAATACATTCCAAAAAGAAAAAGTACGGGCCATTCAGAATTTGTTATCCTAAGAAGTGTCCCACATACAAAATTTTACATATCAATTATGACCAAATAATCATTTTGCTGGATTTCATGGCAGTTTTCATGATGGAAACCTTGAATCTATTGGAGTTTATGTTAATTATGATTAAGTTGTGAGTTTATTCTTTTCCTTAATTAGTTTAATTGGATCAGTTAGTAAATGTGTTTAGAGGCAGTGAAGTTTCTAACTCGACCCTTTTGCTTATACATTTTGAAACACATTAAGTCGGCATTTTGCAATCAGTAGAAAGAAGTTGTTCAGGTTTGATTTTTATTTTAATTATTGTCATTTTTGTTAAACAAAAAAAGCTGATTTTCATTTTAAATAAGAGAACCGGATACCCAGTTTTAGAGCCGATTCTTGACGGTTCCGATTCCAATTCTAAAAACTGTGGACCCAACAAGTTCCAAAAGTTTGAACCCAGTACAAACTGCTTCTGGGACCGGTTCCTTAATTTAGACTGGTACTGGTTTTGCTCACCCCTATCTGCAACATTCTTTAATTCCTTAATGAAAGGCTGTCTCTTAAATGTAGGTAAACCTCCAAGCAAATATCAGTAGATATACAAAAAGCCATCACCCTTCTATTTCTCATTTTCTCCCTTGCTAAAAAAAATGACATTCCAACAATCCACAACTTCTAAGACCCCTCATGGTTTATTTGTACACTGTCTATATCATTAAATGTTAACACAGGCAACAATGGGTAGTATAAGTACAACAAGAACAGAGGACCTAGACTTATAGAGAATAGACACCAAGCTTCCTCACACATCATGTTTTACTACAATCTTAAATTAAGAGTATGAAAATAGCTGAAGCATATAATTTAATAATGACTGAAGTAATTAACATTGCATCACCTAAAATTCCAAAACCCATGCAACAAATGTGCCCACAATGCAAAATATATGATAAAGCAGCTACCACACAAAAAGATGGATCTGAGGTACAGGGTATTTTAAGGAATGAATAAGAGAATAACCAGCACTTTTCCGAAATACTAATTCCCCAAAAGTTCCTATAATCTAATCCCCATGATCCATATTCTTTGTAATATATGGTTAGAATATCTCAAAAAAATGACAATAAGGGAGAACTATTATGCAAGGGACTATCTAACACATTCATCAAGGTAAACCTTTCAAAAGTGATTCCAACTATTGATGGTTGACAGGATTTTGATTCTGGAAATCAGGCAGGGTACACAGACTGGAATCCAATTAATAAGGAAAACAAGAGGAAAGGAAAATAAAAATGACCCTGGTATCTGTTTTGGAAATGAAATGAACAACTCACCTATCCCCTTTGACTGTCAAATACAACACAGAAAATCAACTATGAATAGTGGTTGGAGATGGTCAGAGGGAACACAACAAAGTCTAGAAAAAGAAGGGCAGCTAATGGTGTTTTAGGATTTGAGAGGAAAGAGATAGAAGGGGTAATAGGGTGGGGAGAGAAAATGAAAATACCTAAGGGGGTTGGGGGTGGGGAAGTGGAAAAGAAGGTAAAAGGAATCACAAAAATGGTCGAATAAATAATACCACAGCGAATCAATTCAATTTATTTCTGACCTTAAATGAACATCCCAAACCAAACACCCCTGATAATTTCCTCTGCGTAATTTCCATAAACCAAGACCCTATAGTTTAATGTCTCTTTCAATTAAAGTCTGATTCACTACCTAAATTGTTATCTTGGGTCATTATTACCAATTTGCTGATATACTTCGCCTTCTGCGAGCTTCAAAAGAGGATGAGAGTGAATTAGGTTAGACTGATTAGAACTCAACATAGATGGTTTTTACATTCCCATCCATATAAAATGAAGGAGCAGATCAAGCTCTCTCTGAAATGTGTGTTCAAACATATCATCCTCGGGCCTGGTTTGATTGGATCCCTAACAACCAGTTTATGAAGAGGTATAGAGCCATAGAAACAATTTATAAAGTCTCAAAAGCAAAAATAGCTAATACTTCAGGCCTACTAGATCACTATTACAACTCCAATGTTTATTTGGTCATGATACTATCAAACAAAGAAAAATGCCAGACCCAAATTCAAAACCACCAAACTTAATTTTTTTTATTAAGAGTCTACAGCTTGAAATAAATGTTGTCATGTCTCCATAGCAGCCCTATAATGCAAATCAACTTTGGCTATGACTCTACTTTTCTTCGAAACTAATTGAAAGATACTTAGATATATAGAGTTGTCACAAAGAGCACCCCTGGAATTTTTAGCTATGATACTAGCATTAAAACTATTCCTCTTAGAAGGGCATCTGCAGTCAAAAGAGGAATTCTCATACCCTCCTATACTATCAATCAATTGTTATTGTATAAATTACCAAAACATAGATAGCACCACATGCAACACAAAACTCAAAAACATGTGATTATATTACCATAGAACTCAAACTGCTAGCATCACATAAGACTCTAAGCGTAAGATTGTGGGAAAATCAACTTATGTCAGGTTAATAAGCAATGATAAGGAAGTTAGAAGAAATTTTAAAAGCATTACCTGGTACCAGAACAAAAAATGCCCAATTATATCCACAATTCCCAATCATTCAAGGCCAGCAACTCTGTGCCGCAACTTCATGTTATGAATTTCCTATACAAACAGATAAGAGGAGTTAATAAGTTTCTTGGCTTCCAATTACACAGCAGAGTTAAATCCATGGTCTAAAATTTAAGTCCATTTTCATATTCAGTTTCCATTGCATTCAATAAATTATGTGTAAGACATCCATATTATCATATGATGAAATAGAGAGCAGTAATATAGGGTAATATATGCTGTAGTAGGTAGAATGTTGTTTGTCTGTTAGTGCTGATATAGGCTAGCAGTACTTTGTTTGTTTTGCTATGAGCTGTAAACTTCCTAGTGGTGCTATAAACCAAATCCCTAGTTTAGTATTTGGGGCTGTCATATATAAGGCAGCAAAGAATATAATAGCAGTCATTCAGAAAATCAATCACAGAAATGAGAAATGACAAAGATCCTATCTTGGATCATTTTACTGCTGCATATCCTAGCTTGAACAAAAAGATGTATCTCTCACCTTACTTGGTCAATACATACACGAAGCCATTTTAAAGAACACCTACTACAAAAATTCTAACACACTCAGCCTTTAAAAAACTTACATTAGTTCAAATTAAATAATTCTGATTCCAATGTCTGAAACAACATTTGCATGTTATTGACAACATGTAAATCCACATTTCTCAAAATTTCCTGCATTTAACATGATCCTAGTACATGCCAAACCAACAACAGTTAACAATACTTCAATTTCAATTAATTTATCTCAAGTTTAAATCATTCAAATGCAACTACCTTCAGCACGATTTCAAAATCGAAAAGCATAATCAACAATACAATCAAGAAATCAACACCGTAAGATATTTCACAAAGCTTACCATCTCAAGAACTTTAGAAGAAGACCCTTCAACTTGAGCAGCCAAGCAATCAAGCCTAGCAAGCATCTTCTCATACAATTCCTCAACTCCACTCACATAACTCACAGCATCTGATCCCACCAACCTACTCAAACTCCCCAACTCGTACCCGGCCGCGGCGTACGCTTCCAAATCCTTCTGATCCTTAGCAACCCTCTTCATCTCCTTCAAATTCATATTCTCATCATCCTTCATGGGGGACCCACCTTGAAAATTGCAGGGCAAAAAGGGAAGCTCCGAATTGGGGGAAAACGCACCATACTGCCCCCGAAACGCAGGTCCAATGTTAACCACATCCAAAGGCGTCGTTTCGAAGGAATTCTCCAATCGATTGAAATGATAAACTCTATACTCATGAGTATGAATTAGCAATTGGGGGTCATTAAACGGCGTCGTTAGGAGAAGAAAAACGCGAGGAGATTCAGAAGATATAGATTGCGAGACAGCGAACTCGTGAAGCGAAGGACGGAGCGGCGATCTCCGGCGACCGGAGAACCACCCGATGACGTGGCGGTGGTGGGTACGACGGAGGAGAGAAGATAAGTCATCGGAGGAGTTTCCGGAGGAGATGAACCCAGTAATGGTAGCGATGAGAGAGGAAGGAGAGGGAGAAGGAGAAGGGGAGTCGTCGGAGAGAGAAGAAGTGTGGAGAGAGAATTTGCCGAAGAGAAGGCCTTGAGTGTTTGATGGGGAAGAAGCGAAGCGGTTGATGAGGGAAGAAAGGGTTGGGCCTGAGATGGTTACCTTCAGCAATGGAAGGTCATCCATGGCGGACGAGGAAGAGGAGGAGGAGGAGAGAGAAAGAGAGGTGGTGAAATTGGGGAGTGGGAGTGGGTCAGAGACAGGGTGATGTTTGTTTTCTCCGCCGGGTCGTGGGATCGGGGCCATTTTGAAATTGTTGGAATGGTTTTGTTAATATTTGCCCCGTCTCTGAGAGTGGACTAATTCGCAACCAGTATTCCGTAGTATTTTTGGGTATTCAAAGGAAAATGATATAAACAACTCTTATGAAATTAAGATGGATGAGCAAGGAAGAAGACAACAATCAAATCATATCATATCATAACAATGATGGTTGATATACAAAAATAAAAGTTTTAATCAATTAATGAGATAGTGACACTTAGCATTTTAACTTTTTAATGAAGTACAAGTAACAAGATAGTGATACTTTTATAGTATCACAACTATTCACTCCTTCATTTAGTATTAAATGTAACGCGTTCTTTTTATATCCGTTTTATATTAATTGCAACACTTTTATAGTAGTATTTAAAAATGACCCACCATTATTTTATAATTTCTCTCTCCCACTAACCCCACTTTCACAAATAATTTCTCTATCCTACCGACCCCACTTACACTTTTTACGGAATATTATTTATCTCTTTTACTAATAATATTTTATATTATAAGTGTATAAGCAAGTCTAGTTTATAATTTTCTTAAACTTTGAGTCAACCTTAACATTACGATTAAGCGGAACGGAGGGAATATTCCAACTAGGCAACTAGTGTGTAGCTCGAGCGATATCTATGGTTATTAGTTTGTACTCCGTCTTTGTTTATTCACAAATTTTTATATGTGGCTAGGCACACGACCAGCTATCATTTGGGTTACTTCGTTAGTGTTATATGGGTTACTTGGTCAATGTTACATGGGTTACTTGGTGAGTGTTACAGGAGTTACTCATGCAATATTATCATATTAAGGGGTTACTCCATCAGTGTTATGATTTGTTCTTTTACAAGCGGTCACACGGTGTAGCCAGCTGCACCTAAGACAGGCTAATGTTTAATTTGATAATAATGTTTTTTTTCTTCCTACGTTACGTAATAATCACAACACTTTGATTTTTACACTATTCATCTTACTTTGATTACATTTTTACCAATATATTAAAAAATATGTGTTATGTATAATATTTTTGGATTAGTCTTTAACTATATTTTCATTACATTTACTTTTAATATTTGATCGACACATATGCCAATGCACAACTTTGACCATTAATATTTGTAATTTTAATATTAATACTTCTTAATAAAATTAAAATTACAAATATTAATGGTCAATGTTGTGCATTGGCATATGTGTCGATCAAAGTATTGTGATTATTTTTATACGGGAGAGTACTAAATTTCAGTTGTGCAATTTTCACTTTTTCTCTTTATTTCCGTGTGAATGACAGTCTAATAGAAAAATAGGGAGGAATCCTTGGACTATAACTATTAGAGTCATAAATGACTAACAATGATATAATCGTCCATTCACTTTTTACCGCACTTGAAAAATATAATGTCATAACACATGTTGGTATTTCATTATACTTTGCATAGTATCACCATGATACCAACCACCTTATTAAGTAATATCAACGAACGTAAAAATGTTTTGTTAATATCGATATGATTTGTTATTGGTATCATATGAAATATCAATGTGTGAAATATCAATGTGTGCTGTTAGAGTTATTTCTAAAAGTTAGAGTTCAAGAATTCCTTGAAATTAGGTAGGGTCCATACCACCTACCTCTCTCTTCCTTTCTTTCTCTTTCACGTGCGTTTACTATTTTTTGTAGTACTCCCTCCGTCCTTAAATTACATTCCTCCTTTCTATTTTTGGTATTCCAAAATTACATTCCTCCTTTCTATTTTTGGTAAGTTTTTTTTAGTAAATCAACTCTCTTTTTCTGTTTTATATTTAATGCTTTCTCACTCATCCTTACCTAATCTCACTCATAATCCTTGTGCCAAATTACAATGAATATGATTGGTTAAAAATTTTCAATTAGGAGCATGTGATTGGTCATTTTTTTTTTTGCAAAGGATTGATGACATGTCTTGAGTAATAACTAATCTATCTTTATACTTCACATTGCATTATCTAATTATTGTTATTTGTTTTATTCTTTCCTCCTTAATTCCCGTGTAAATTTCTAAAGAGGAATGTAATTTAGGGACGGGGGAGTATATGATATGCATATCAATATGCATTAACAGTTTTAACACTTCTAATATTTGAACTTCTTGTCAAGTGTTATGCCTCACAAAATACTCTCTCTATCTCTTTTTATCTGTCACTTTTTTCATTTTTGGTGCCCCTAAATGTTTGTCCTCATTATAAAAAAACTTTAATACCCCTCATTTTTTTGTCCTCATTATGTTACTTCCTATTTAACCCTAACATTTGCCATAAAAATTGTGCCAACTTTTGACTAATTTAATTACCCTCTTGAATCTCTCAATTTCTCTTTTCCATTTACTTTAATTACTTTTTTAATTGGAAATGTCTCTTTTCCTTGCACTTTTATTTTTTTATTGGTTGGGAATTTCACTTTCTCATATACTTTTATTACCTCACATTCTCCACCGTAATTCCCGTAATTTTTCTTCAAAATGACAAACAAAAGGGGGCGGAGGGAGTAACAACTAAGATATTGTTCACTTTACCTTATTTTTGTTGAAATGAACTTATTTTTAGCGAATTGAAATTATATTTTAGAGAACTTAAATTAATTTTAATGAATAAAAAATAATTTTACCGATTCCCTATAGTATATCTTCTTTAAAATTACTATTTTTACTATAATAAAACTACTTTTATTGAATGTAATTTTTCTAAAAAGAAATTATTTTTACTGAACATTTTTCTTAAAGTGAAGTGAACAGAACCAGAATGATACGGAGTCCAGTTAGTATTCCAACCTTTTGCAAGTATTATGTGTCACATACTCACACGACAACAATCTAATATATATATGTATAAAGGGGAGTTTTTTCCCGAGTTTTTAGAGAGCCACATAATATTTAATTTTTGCATCGCACCATGTAGGATAATAAAAATTTTAGTGGTAGCCAATTAAATACGAGATTATTAACTTATTTTAAAATTAAATAATTTAAATGACACGTAAGCAAAATCAGCGAATGAGATTTCCCACTTTAAATTAATTAAATATAAAATTTTATCTTTTGATAGCAGGAATTTTATCTAAATATATAACAAACTAGATGAAGCCCGTGCGATGCACAATTTGTTTGAATTTTTAAAAATAATTTTTTTATACATATATTTATGTGCTAAAATTTGTTATATGTTTAGATAAAATTCCTAATATGAAAAGATAATATTTTATATTTAATTAATTTAAATTGAAAAATCTCATTCGCCAATTTTGCTTACGTGGCATTTGAATTATTTAATTATAAAAGATTTTAATAATCTCCTATTTAATAAGTTACTACTAAAATTTATAATCCTACATGGCACACTATGAAAATTAGATCCTATGTGACTCTCTAAAAACTCGGGAAAAAACTCCCCTTTATATATATATATATTAGATTTTAGCACATAAATATATGTATAAAAAATCTATATCTATACTTTAGTATTTAAAAACACAAACCATAATTTTTCATATGACACATGTCATCACAAGTCACTCACTACCACATATGACACATGTTACCCCTTTTAATCTTTTTGTTTAAGTCTTTATACATTCTATAACTTGCAAATTCAATTGAGAAAATAAAATGTTTCATTTCCATCATAATAAAATAAAGTTGAACCAATTAATATACATCACATAAATATATGAATTGAATAATATTAAAATTGTCTTTTCAACTAATAGATTTAAAATATAACTTAAACCAATATGTCATTTCATATCCTATAATCTTCATGTATATATATGTAACTAAATTCCTTTATCTTTTTCCCCATTTCTACACTCATTCTTTTTTTCTTTTTAAGTTTTAGCAATGAAACAATTACTTCATATTTCGTATCAAAAGTTTCAACTACTGAAAAACATACCTACATATGAACCCGTGCATCGAACGGGCCAAAAGACTAGTTATTTTAAAAAATTCAAACAAACCGTGCATCGCACAAACTTCATCTAGAAAAAAACATTTATTTGGCAACATGATGCAAGGAAGTGAAATTCGGTAAGGTTTTTAGCATTAAACTCAAACTATGCTCCCTAATCTAATAGGATCACCGAATGCTAACTTGATTAGCACTTCAATTAAGCTTGATAAAAGTAACTAGCTATAGATTTGAAGTAAAACAAAATATGTTGATTACATTCATGAGCATGACAGCAAATATGTTATCAGATGATCCTTTAATTAGTTTAGCCCATGTCCCCTAATACTTCATCTTGTTAACAGAATTTGGTTTTATCTCGGATTTTAAATGCAAACCAACCTATGTATGTATATACTATGTGTAATTTCTGCTAACAAGCTCACAAGTATTATCTACCTTAATAGCATAATTAGCATTGGTCTGAAATTTTGTTATACTGTATGATGTTTCTGATGAGGGTATGTGCGTTTGCGACCATTCCCTCACCAAACTACCAAAGTTCACCAGCAAGTGAAATTTTTGTTCCTAATACGGAATAATAGTAAATTAGCACATTTTCAACTTTTTACACTGTTTACAGTAAGCAATTCATTGATTGATTGTATCTTCAAACCTTTTCCAGATACTGCCTGTGCTAACACTGCTCGCATAAGCACTGGTTTTAGCAATTTGCAATGTTGCCAGCATATAAGTTGAACAATTCATTTTAAGTACCTCTTCATTGATTGTCTTTTTACATAATCATAATAATACAAGTACTAAAACAGGAACTACTAAAACATAGAGAATATTTACCTGAAATACCTCAAATTCATTGATTTTGTGTATACTAAATATCTTACAGCATATCTTGCAGTGTGTTTCGACCTTTATTACCCATGTTCAAAGAATAAAAAATGCCATATCTATAACAAATACAACTATTAATCCTAAAACAGAAGGCCTATATACTAAAAAGAAAATGTATACAATATATCACAAGTATTTATATAGTTCAAAAAACCCAACTTTCAGAATTCAGATCAGTGATGGCTTTTCTCTGCAGATTCCTCAGGAGTTTCAGCAATGAGCTTAGGATTAATCTCCTCTAACTGCTGAAGAACCTGCTGAACATCCGGCCTCGCATCAGGTGAAGGATCAACCAAGTGCAAGGCTAATTTCAATGTGTTAAGCATTTCATCCCCTGTAGTTGAAACATCCCTCATCAGCTCCAAATCAAAAACCTCATTAGTCCACTCTTCCTTGACAGTTGATGCTACCCACTGCGGCAAATCTAAACCGTCCACTGACTCATTAGGAGACTTTCCTGTCAAGAGCTCTAATATGATCACCCCTAGACTGTAGATGTCGGTTTTTGTAGTCGCCTTCTTAGTCTTCGGAAGCTCAGGTGCACGGTAACCTGCTGAACCAGCTGTGGCAATCACATTGGTGTTTGCAGAGTCTATCATCAGCCTGTGAATCCCATAATCAGATATTCTGGGGTTGTTTTGCTCATCTAGGTATACGTCAGTTGCTGTGAGGCTTCCATGAACTAAGCTCTCTTGGCTATGAATATAGTTCAGTCCACGTGTTACTCCTATCGCGATCTTCATCCTCGTTGGCCAATCGATTGTTGTTTCAGGTCCTCGAGCTGCAAAAAACATCCCAAATTTTATGTACAAGATCACAATCAACGAAACTTGATCACCAAAATTAAATTTCAACATAAAAAGTAAAGTTCACCAAGTGTTAGACTAAAAAAGGATCAACCTTATATACCATCACCTTAATCTAGGGAGCTTGATCACCAAAATTAAGTTTTAACATGAAAAGTAAAGTTCACACTGAAGTATTAGCCTATGATAAATTAACCTTATATACTATCAACTTAATCATATAAAAAATAATCTTTAGTTACAACTAACAAGATTTCCTAGCATTCTAACATACTTCAAATCAGAAGGCATGAAAGATATATACAAGTATTAGACTTGCTGCTTACCATGAAGAAAGGAAGACAGACTACCCTTAGACATGTAGTCAAAAACCAGCAACTTCTCTCCTTTAGGTCCCAAGTAATAGGCCCTAAGGGGAAGAAGGTTCGGGTGGCGAATCCTTCCAAGTGCAGCAACCTCTATTTCAAACTCTTTCGGAGTCTTTGCAAGCTTCTCCCTGAGCCTCTTAACCGCGACTTGATTACCATCCTCGAGTGTGGCCTTGTACACGGTTCCGTAAGGACTCTTCCCCATGATCTCAGCAGTTGCACACAGCAAATCATCAGCTGTAAACACAAATGGTCCATCAAACAACACCAATTTACCGCCATTCCGTCCGGTTTCAGCACTTGCTCCTGCAGCACCTGCAGCAAAACCCTTCTCAACTCCAGCAGATTTGCCATTCCTAGCTTTAGCACCTGCTCTTTTCCTGAACAAACAAAACAGCAAAACACAGCAAAGTACAAACAATATTGCAAGAAGTGCTCCAACAATAATCAAGATTATATCCTTTGTGCTCAATCTTCTATGATGGTGCTTTGGTTTTTCACTAGATAATGGGCTCATTGATGGGGTTTCAGCTGGTGTTGCTGCAATACATGGAGTTGAAGGACTAAACCCACACAACTGAATGTTCCCTACAAATGAAGATGAATTAAATCGTTTCGAAAGGCGGTCTGGAACTTGGCCGGAGAAAGAGTTGTAAGAGACATTAAAAGAGGTCAAATTGGAAAGATTTTCTAGTGATGCAGGAATTTCTCCTGTGAAGTTGTTCTCTGACAAATCAAGAAGACTAATCCTAGAAAGATTACCAATTGCAAGAGGAATATCTCCTGTAAGATGGTTTTTCTTGAGATTAAGAGATGACAAATTCTTCAAACCAACCAATTCCTCAGGAAAACTACCATTAAACTTGTTATGACTCAAAGATAATTCCTCAAGACTACTCAACTTACCCAAAGAATGTGGGATACTCCCATTGAAAGAATTATGATCAAGGGTTAGTGACCTTAAATTTTGGGTACTCCAAGAAATTGGGATTGACCCAGAAAGATTATTACTCTGAAGGGCAAGATAAACCAAAGGAGAAGAAAGAGCAAAACCTCGAGGAATCGAACCCGAAATCGAATTAAAACTCAAATTAACCCTATGAATCCTAGGAGAATTAACAAGATTAACAGGAATAGACCCAACAAGCAAATTATTACTAAGATCAATAGCTTGAATTTGAGGAGAGTTCCCAATTGAAGGTGGGATTACCCCAGAAAATCGATTGTTGAACAAATAAAGACCTCTAAGATTAGGAAGAGACCCAATAGATGAAGGGATAGTACCCCCAATAAGATTATCATGAAGACTAAGCTTTCTAAGCTCTTTAAATTGACCAATTTTGTTAGAAATTCTTCCTCCTAAAACCTTGAATGGAAGTTGTATTGCTACCACTTGTCCCTTGACACACTTGATGCCGGCCCAGCTACCGGAGCAGGCTCCATTTCTAGTACCATTCCAGCTCTTAAGCGCACCGCGAAGATCGATGAGCTCACGCTTAAACGCTTGTAGTGCTTGAAAATCAGAAAGTGTGATAGTTACACCATCATTTTGTTGTCCTGTTACAAAATTGGGTGAAATGCATAGTAGATGAAAAATTGAGTATAGTAATGAGAGTTTAAGCAAATTTAAGGCTACCCCCTTATGTTTTCGTATAAAATAAAAATCACCCATTAATCAAAATGCAACAAAAATGCAATTTTATATGAAAACAATTTTGTTTTAAAAAGATGAATGTATGAATATATATAAATAAAAAGTGACTAATAAGATCGAATTGTTTTGTTGTCTTCTCTTTAAGTTGTTAGAAGAGAAGAGAAGAGAGGGAAAGACAGAGAAAGAGACAGTAGAAAGGTTTCATGGGAGAAGTGAGGAGTATGAAGGGGGAGTGATGGAGGATTTTGAGTAGATTACAACGGCTAGTTTTGTTGGTTTTTTTTTTAAGAATTGTAGAAAGAAATATAAAAAATGATGAAATGTTAGGGAGGTTCAGGAGAGAGTCAGTTTTTAACGGGTTGATGCGTTGAAAATTTGTCGTGGGGTTAAGTTTGGGAGGTCACGGGAGAATGGTATCACTTGATAACGGCTCTTTGTGAATGGGTCAGGAGTCAGGACTAGGGCTGTACACCGGTCCAAAACCGGACCGGACCTGGATCGGACCTGTTGGGACCGGGACCTGAATCAGGGAATTTTAAGGACCGGAGACCGGACCTGATTCAACAGGTCCGGTTCCGGATTAGACCTGAAAAATCAGGTCCGGTCCGGGTTCGGACCAGAATAGACCTGTTTTTTTTATTTATTTTTTGATTTTTTATTTAAAAAATAAAATAAATAATAACATAAAATCTGATATTATCAATCATGAATACTACATAAATTGTATAAATTGACTAAAGTCCCAATTCCCAAACACCAAAAATACTAGACAACAGCAACCACCAGATCTACCACCTTCAAAGTAGATGGTCGCAAAGGAAGGTCGGGGTAGATCGTGAAGAGAGTAAGAGGGCGATTGGTGTATGATTGGGTGGCTGCAGTCGCTGGAGTCGCGCGATCTGGTGGATGCGGTCGCCGGAGTCCCGCGTTCTGGTGGCTGCGTTCGCTGGAATCGCGCGATCTGGTGGTTGCGGCCTCTAGTGTCGCGTGTTCTGGTGGCTGCAGTCGCTGGAGTCGCGCGATCTGGTGGCTGCAGTCGCTGGAGTCGCGCGATCTGGTGGCTGCGGTCGCTAGAGTCGCGTGTTTTGGTGGCTGTGGTTGCTGGAGTCGCGCAATGTGGTGGTTGCGGTTGCTAGAGTCGCACGTTCTAGTGGCTGGGGTTGCTAGAGTCGCGCGATCCAGTGGTCGCTAGAGGAGTGTGCAGCGTGAGGGAGTGGGTTTGTAAGTGTGTTGTATGACTTGTGTCGGCTGAGTGGGTTAGGGAGTGAGTGATTAAGTTAGGGTTAGAAATGAACTGACTTCTTGTTTTGATATTTGGGAAAAAAAAGTATTTTTAAAAAAAAATACATTTTTACCGGGTTTCAGGTCCAGACCTGAAAACCCCGGGTTTGGACCTGATCCGGACCGGGACCGGGAACCTTGAATTTTAAGGACCGGGACCGGACCTGAATCTACAGGTCCGGGTCAGGTCCGGTCCCAACAGGTCCGGATCAGGTCGGTTTTCAGGTCCGGTCCTGTTTATGTACACCCCTAGTCAGGACTATAATTAACAACTTGAGGCCGATTAATTATTGAGTTATTCCAATACAGTAATTTGATTTATTTTTATTTTTTTTACTTTTTTTTATAATCATTTTTTAAAAGTTTCTGAAATTGTTGAAAGGTCTAGCTATTCTTTTAAAATTATCAGATTGTGTTGGATTTATTTATCCACATATTAGAATTTTTACAAAAATTCTACGGTAAATGACGTGTCGGCTACCGCTATGTATCACTAAAGTAATGTACCACTATTAAATTTAATTAAATTTATTATAATTTTTTGTATCTCTTTATCATAGTTTGACTCTAGCTTAGATGGTGAATTTCATTATTGTTTTGATTAGTGGTTTAAGGATCAAATCTTTGTGCTCACCATATTTATTTTTTTTCCCTTCTCACATATTTTTTTCCAAAATTGATAACTATATAATTAATGCAGTCCCTTCTCATTTTTTAAAATTTTTTTCCCTTCTCATATATTTTTTTTGAAAATTGATAACTATATAATTAATGTCGTCCCTTCTCATATTTTTAATTTTTTTCCCCTTCTCATATTTTTTAATTTTTTTCCCTTCTCATATTTTTAAATTTTTTCCCTCTAGACCACCTTCAAAAAGAAATATAAAATACATATTTTATTTATTTTACATCATACAACCTTTTTAAATTACTCGTTGGACTATATTAATTATAAACTTATCAATTTCGAATCCTTTGCAATTTATTAGATCCATTTTTTCCTCTCTAATTACCTTCAAAAAGCAATATCAAATACTTGTTTGATTTATTTTACATCATACAACCTATGCAGATTATTCGTAGGACTACTTATATTTTAAAACTCTTATCAATTTTAAATCCTTCTCACTGTATTAGATCCACCAAAGTTATTATTCACTACAAAAACGAGAGTATTTTAGCAACAAAGTTTGGCAACAAAATTATAAATTATTGCTGAATAGCGACAAAATATTTTAAATATAGACTTCTCTAAAATTTGAGTTTTAAACAATTTTAAATGAGCCAATAAAAAACACAAACTAATGGGCTTATAAACAATCACGAACGAATTGATGTTTGTGAGCCTAAGAAAATCGAATACCAAGTTGTTCTAGATGAGCTTGTTTATTAAATAACTTGAATTTTTGTTTATCAACTAACAAGCGGGTTTTGAATGAGTTGTTTAAGGAGTGCTTTGTTTAATAGACATCCCTTGATCCCTATTTGTTTCTTTGAATAGGTTACTACGAAGTATATTTTATGAAGATCTTTTCCTTGACTTATAAAAGATTAAAAAAAATTACTTCCTATGTTTTTTTTGGTACTCATTTATCTTTTCTCACTAATCAATTGCACTTTTTTTAAATCATCCGTATCTTTAATTTCGTATTGTAAAATTTATACAACGTTAGTCTTGTTAAGACCACACACAAACATGTTTTTTCTTACATAGTTATGACTAGTGAGTGGTCTAAATTTGAGTTCTTTTACTGAGACTAGTAATTGTGTCATTTTACATGTTTTATTTTTCGATAAACTATAAATTTCATCATATTTTCTTATTACGAAGTATATTTTTATACCTGACTCACATCTTACTTTTTTTTTTTTTTAGTTTAATTCTCAAATCTAGTTATTTATTGATCTAATGTAACTTCCACCAAAATTTGTACAATCTTCAAATTCGTTGGCAAAATTAGTTTTGGTGGTGTTTTAAATCATTGGCACACATACACCTTAAACTTTTTTACGAAAATTATTTTTTTTTTTAAAAAATAGAGAAATCAAAAAATCAAAAACACAAAGCCCTAGAAAAAAGCCTAACCGCCATCTCTAATCTCCACATTGCTCTGCTAGCTCTTAGTCACCGGCTACCGACTCCATGCTGCAATTCATCACTAGTCATGAAAATCTATGATTGATTTTGTTTTTTTTAAATCACCATCAATTGTATTAGAGAATACAATACAATTAATTTGTCGTATAATTTTTTTTTTTTTTTTTGAGCAATTATGCACATGACCATATATACAAAAAGTTTGTAATCATGGGATATAATTTTCTGCAAGTTATTCCTAATTTGATATTTTGGGCAATTTCGAACTCAGATTTTCAATTGAATCCTCAATTGGGTGTTAATTTGACAGAGGTTTGAATGAGAGAGCAGGGAACAATGGAAACTGAAAAAACGTGAGAAAAATAAAATTAAAGGGGTTAACTGTTTTTTATTGTTTTAAAATTTATTTGTCTATATATATATATAATTTAATAATACATAGCAGTACATAACATTTACAAAACATATCAATATTTGTCATGTACTGTAGACTCTAGAGACGATTTGAGGATGGAAATTTCCTTAGTCTATTACAGTATTATCCATTTCAAATGTGTCTTAAAAATTAAGTACAGAGTAATAATTTTCCTTTTTTGAGAAAGTTTGTACCAATACTTCTCTTAACGTCATTATTTGTTAAATTTTTACTTCTTAAATGTATTAAATACGCAACTTAATTATAACAATAACAAAGAAGCGTAAATTATGAAATATATCTGTTCAAAATAAAAGAAAATGTGAAAATAACCAATTATTGATGACGAATCTCAAAATAACCATAAAAGAATTGTTGAATATGTTTAGGAATTTGGCATATTAGCTACTCCCTCCATCACTAAAAAAATTGTTCCGTATACTAAGAAAAGAAAAAAAAATGCTAAATGCATTCCTTTAGAAAGCTTTAGAATTAATTACACTAATTTACGTGTATTTTTGTCATGAATTCCTAAATTTAAACTATTCTTTCTATATTTAAGAAGTATATTTAATGTTTATAAATAAAATTTACGGAGTATTAACGTCTCTAAAAGACTGTCGCATGCCTTAATTGATTATTTTTCACTTGCAACCTCATTTGCTTTTTTTTTTTTTTTTTTTAAATTTTTTAATTTTTTTTTATCTCCCCTTATCAATAATTGCGTCTACTCTTAAAATAAAATAAAATAAATAAAAAATTAGGAATTTGAGACACTTTTTTTTATTATAAAACATACTGTAGAAGAATACAAGGTTATATTTAAAAAATTTACAGTCTAAGAAACTTTACTAGGCTCCTTGGAGCTAAAACAAGGCATATGGATATCATATCATCAAACTTCATGAATGACCTCGATAAAACGAACCATTATTCCTAAGAATAGGACTATAGGAGTATCTAGCTTAATGGAATAATGGCTAGCACTAGCAAAAAGGAACAAAAAGGGATGCTATTTTTAAAAGTAAACACGACGCCTAAGATGTACTTGTAGTAAAAACATATGAGAAACAAAAGTAATTTCAGTAAAATCTGCTTAAAACATGCACTCATGACCAACTTTTTGGATAGATGCTAATATTCAAATTATAAGAATCTAGTCAAGGCTTAATGGCGCTTGCCTCGATACAATTAACGGTAGATTTTACTGCTTCAATTGGCTTTAAGCCTTCAACTAATTATTTTATAACTTTAATTGTTGCACATATTTTGGTAGTAACCTAATTTTAAAAGTAAAAAATGCGGCACCTAAACCATTTGTGCAATGTGTTTTGTTATAGTTATAGATGCTAATTGTGAAATTTTAAGCTCGGAGAAGTAACACTAATCGATATATGAGTTTGTTGTTTATTTTCAAATTGATAACACTAAAGAAATTACACATATAGTACGCTTTATTAAATTGATTGGTGGTAACATTGTATTGGTGCTTTAAAAAACTAATGTGATTACTTATCTTAATCTAATGCACAAGTAGGCTAAAAAATGAACATATTGATGTAGCTTAACTATTGCTACAATCTCTGTTCCTTGAAATTGATTCAATGTTTCATTAGGAGTTAGTTGTTTGAGAAGTTGTACTCTCTTGCTTTATATTCTTGCAATGCTCAATTTGACTAGGTATGTTATCCAATGCAAAACATTGATTTATATTAACATTAAGTATTAGTACATTGGTGAAAATAAAATACTAGTATGTAAAAAGTCAAACTAATGCACTAAAAAAAAATAGACTGAGAGAGTATGAGCCAGACGAGGCAATCAGCCTGATTGACGAAATTTGTACGGATTATATTTACGGATGGAAATTGCCCGTTAGTGACGGTGGCAAGTAACCCCTGAATCATCACTCTTATTTTCTCTCATAACTTGAAGCCTTCATCAATGGCGGAACCCGAATCTGAATACGAAGATATCTTCAAGAAAGGCACCATAGCTGAAGTCAGTTCTGAAGACGAAGGTCTTCGAGGTTCCTGGAACACCGCTACTGTTCTCCGCACAATTTCTCACCGCAAAATCTTCACTAAGTACCACAATCTCATGGAAGACGACGCTGGTTCCCAATTACATGGTCGGAAAAGTACCTTCCCAAATTCGTCGGATGGATCCCAATCTCATGGAAGACGACGCTGGTACCATAATTGGTCAGAAAAGTACCCAATTACATGACACGCATCAGAATTCGTCGAAGAAATAACCGAAATCACTCCTCAAATGAGATTCTTAATGTTCAAATGAGATTCACATATCACAATAAGAATAGTGTTGTAAATAGAATTCAAACGGCTGGCTTTAGGTACATCAACAAAGATCTTACCTGCTAAGTTATTTACTACAATATTTACAATTCTGTACTAACCATTGATACATACCAAGCGGCAAATTCCAATTACCAGTAGCACTCACCCACATCAGTTCAGTTGGCTTCAACATGTTACTAACATGACCTGTTTTGACTATACAACTCTAGCTAACGACTTGCCAAGAAAATGCTACTTGATAAGACCTGGATGTAAGGTTAAAGAGCACAGAAACCTGAAGCAGGAAGGAAAGACTTAATGTAAAGCAAGCTACCTAGCATATAGAACATTAGAACCTAGCATCAGTTGCAACTAGAAATGATCCAACCAATGCCTCCTCACTAAAGCACCTAAATAGCAGCCAGAAAAATGATCCAACCCACATAGGGGTGTCAATTCGGTTAAACAGTTCGGGTTTGGGTTGGGTTTACCAGTTTCGGGTTATAACGGGTCGGTTAATAACGGATTGAAATAATAAGCGGGTCGGTTTTGAAAATTATCGGGTCAGTTCGGTTTGGTTTTTTTAATTACAGTTTCTATTCGGATCGGGTCCTTATCGGGTCGGATTCTAGTCGGTTCGGGTCATAATCAATTTGGGTTGAACTGGGTCGGTTTGAAAACGGGTTTAGCCCATTTAATGTGGGTTTCGGTTAAAAACAGTTCGGGTCTTAATCAGAACGGGTCGTAATTGGTTCGGGTCATAACCAGTTTGGGTTTAACTGGGTCGGTTCGAAAATGAGTTTCGTTTCAAAATAGATCGGGTGAAATCGGGTCCAACCATTATTGTTTCGGTTATATCGGTTTAGATTGAACTAGGTTGGTTTGAAAACGAGTTTACCCAATTTGAAACGGGTTTTTAATCAAAATCATATCGGGTTAAAATTGAGTCGGATGATTATCGAGTCGAATTAGTCAGATAATGGGTAGGAACGAGTCATGTTATAATCAAGTCAAGTCATAAATAAGTTGGGTTTATCGAGTAGTGGGTTGAAACAGATTAGATCATAAACATATTGGGTAACAGGTTGTAAATGACTCAGTCATAACGGGTTACGGGTTTTAAACGGTTTGGTCATAACGGGCTACGGGTCGTAAACGGTTCGGTCACGACGGGTTACGGATTATAATCGGTTCGGTCACAACGGGTTACGGGTTGGAACGATTTAGGTTTATCGGATTTTTATCGGGTTTTAACGGTTTTCGGTTTAAAACGGGTCGGGTTACTATCGGGTTTAAACGTAATCGGTTTGGGTTGCTTTCAGTTTCGGGTTGTAACGGTTTGGCTTGATAATGGGTCGGGTTAGTAACGGTTTGCACAAATTCGGTTTAGTTCAGTTTCGGTTTGGAAAAAATTGGGTCGGGTCAGTTTTCGATTTCCAAAAAACGGGTTTTAAACAGTTCAGTTCCTTTTCAGATCGGTTCGAAACAGTCGGGTTTAACGGTTCGGGTCGGGTCAGAAACTGACAGCTCTAAACCCACATCATAACATCCTACTACACCCTGAGACCCTGAGTACCCAACAAAGCATCAACCTTAAACTGACATCAGCGTTACCCCTTTTGCCTTAATAAAGGGCCGCAATAGAAGCCAGAATGTCCAGAAATCATCCAACCAACATTAGAATATCATACTACAACCGAGGCTCAACAAGGCAACATCCTTTTATCAAACAACATCAATATTAAACCCCTATTCCTTACGAAAGCACCCCAATAGCAGCCAGAATTCATCCAACCAATATCATAGCATTGTCTTACAAACTGCGCTCAACAGCCCTCTATCAAAAGACATCAACATTACAACACCCCTATGCCTCACACAAACATCCCTAAGCCTCATAAAAACACCCAATAGCAGCCGGAAATCATCCAACCGACACTATAACACCACAATGCATCCTACACCCAAAACCAAGGCAAACTACCTTTCTACAAACAGCATTATCACTACCTCTATTGGCTCTATGCCTCACTAAAGCACCCTGAGACGAGGACATGATCAAGAACTAGATAGAGGCATTCTGATCCTACATTGTCCAATCTCATTGCTCACTTTCATATGTTTCATTCACTGCAGAGGAGAAAACTGCACCTTCAATTTGATTAATAAAAATACAAACTTGAGATTCCAAATTCCTAGTGCAATTTATCCCAATTCTCTCCTCTAACTCGAAATCTCGAATATGTTTCTATAATCTTCACAATTAACAATTCACACATGTAATCATTGCAATGGAAATCAATAATTTTATGAAATGAATAAAATCAAAATTAGTAAACAACTAAAAGTAAGAATATCATTCAACAAATTACTCAACCAGGTAATATGAACATCCAACAAAAAAATTCATATGTACTAATGTACTACTATAACAGATCCGTAATTTGATTGATACAAATTAAGGAAAATTTCCCTATTCTAAGATCTCAATTATAAAAACAAATAAAAAAACATAAAAGATAAAATTGATCTGATCTGAAATTCCCAAAGACGATCAAGAAATTACCCAAATTCAATCCGATTAGAACCCAGATCAAACACGGGAAGCGGCAACAGCAGGAGCAGCGGCAAACGCAGCATTCCTAGTAGTCGCACCAAGGAAAGACAAAAACCCAGTAGTTTCAGCACCAGAATCTTGATCATCAAGGAACAAATCTTCCGGCGCCCTAAAAGCACCATGAACACAAACAACCGCCGCACCAAGAACAAACGCATACATCAACACAGATCCAACATTCGTCAAGAAGATCAACACAATACTCATAATCACGAGAATCCCAAGCGTCTCACGATCAGAATAGGTGCGACCGAGGATGACGAGGGGTCGATCGGCGGGCTTGAAGAGGTAAGCGAAGGACCAAGCGGCGAGGAGGAAACCGAGGGTGAGGAGAGAGAAAGGGTGAGTAACGAGGGAGAAGCCGACGATGAGAGCGAGGAAGGCGAGGTAGTTGACGCGGAAGTAGGAGTAGTTTTTGCGGATTCGGGTGGTGGCTTCGGCGAGGGACTCGGGTTTGGAGAAGGCGGAGCGGTCGACGAGTTCGGTCCAGGGGCGGCCTTGGGAGTAGCCGTCTTTGACTTGGTCGGAGAGGCGGGTGATGAAGGAGCGGAATGCGGGGGTGGCGATGGGTGGGTCGGAGGATTGCACGGCCGTGTTGGTGGTGGAGATGGTGGCGGGAGTGGATTGTGGGGTTGAAATTGGGAGGATTGGTGGTGCTGAGGTTGCCATTTTTCGTTGAGTTTTTTTTAGAGAGAGAAAATTGTGGGGGAAGAGAGAGAAAGTAAATGGATGAAAGTGGGGTGATTTGGGGTTATATTAATTTTTTTTTTTTTTTTTGAATAGATTTGGGGTTATATTTTGTGGGTGAATTGGTAATTTCGTGGAGGGTGGGAGAGAGATCTGGGGGAAAAGGGAGAGGAAACTTGGAGGTTAAGGGTGGAGGTTTGATGTTGAGATGGCAGTTGATGAATGGATGGATTACCGATGCACCGACGAAAATTTGATATACGCGTTTTAGAGTTTGGGTTTAATTAAGAGTATTTTTCATTGACCTCAAAAAAAAAAAAAAAAAAAAAAAGTAATTTTCATTTATTTCTTTAGATTATTTTAGTATTGTTCCTACAAAAAAAAAATTAGTATTGTTTTTGTATTTCCTCCAATCCTATTAGGTTTAATACAATTTTTATTATACAATTGGATTTTTTTTTTAAATAATTGATTAAAATTAAGGATAATGTTATATGTAGCCCTAAGGCTTACAAATATGCATTAATTATATTTTCTAAATTAGTACTAATTGTATTAGTTTAGAAATGCATGACAAATCACGGAAGAACAACACACCACAACTCAAAACAGAGGAGTTTGCTAAATCAAGTAAACTTTAGCTTTTTCTTCTTCAAGGGTTTGTTCTCTTCACCTGAAACAAGGAGATCTTGTCTAAGTTTCAAAGGTTTGAACATATCTAATTTGAAATTTTATACCTGATCTGATTTAATAATTTGACTACATTTAGACCGCATTTTAATACTAATCTTAAAAAAAAAAATCATTTTCAAAAAAATCTTGTTAGATTCGTCTCATTATAAACTTTTCAAATATATAATTTTCATAATTTTTTGTAATACGCAATTAATGATATTTAGCGATTAGTAATTGATACTTCGTAGTGAAAAGTTCTGAAGTGAATGTTTCTAGTTTGGTTTGAATTTATTAACGAATAAGTAATAATTACCTGAAATAAGTTGAAAAAACATGTCCAAAATAATAAATACTTCCTCCGTTTTTTTAGTTGACACATTTTGACTTTTACACTATTCACATAACACACTTTGACTCGCTTTTATGGTTTATGGGTACGGTAAAACATATTCATGTGGGATCTTGGTTGAATCATTTCAATGAATCAATATCCACTTTTTATAATTTTACAATTTTAGCTTATGACAAGTCAACTGAAAAAAAACACAGGAAGTATAACTTTAGCTTATGACAAGTGTAATTTTTTTTTTTAAAAAAAAAAAAAACCTGATGGCAATTGTAATTTAGACCAGCTGCAAATATGCAGTTATTTATGCATGACACATAACCAGCCAGCAGATTGGGCCATGACACAGGCCTAGCCAGCCCTAAAGCACACACTACATGCTCTACATGAGGTACCTCCCACCTACAGTCTACAGCCCTTCTTTAGCACCAAAATCTCTAAAGGCCAATACACAAAATCGTGAGTGACACATATCTACGACTGGTTTTCTTTAAGCTGCTGTGCAAGATCATTTAAATGTAAATTCAACTCATATAATTTGTTAGATCTTGCTAACGAACGCTCCAGGGTATTAGATAAGGATAAATTATATTGGTTGAAATGGTATTAAGTTAGGAATTTATGACAAAGTCACATGTCGTTCAGTGTAATTAATGTTGATTTTACTCTAATATTTGCACTTTAGTTCTCCTATCTAACGCTCTGGGAGCGCTCATTAGCTTGCCTATTTTGTTTAGCCAGCACACTATCTAAAAAACATCGTATTTATGTCATCGACTAGTAGTACTAGTCCTTGGAAATTGGAGTAAAAGGTTTTACAGCATGGTTCCTGGGAAGAAGAGAAATGAGTACGCCTCCATCGTTATAGGACTTAAAAGAGTTAAAATACTACAGAGTAGCATACGCAACTCCATAATAGATGTTCTGATACAAAGGTAAGGTTAATTACATTGTCTTCATTAACTAAGCCACAGGGCTAGATAGTATCCTTCTAACAGGTAGATACAGAAATAATTCCATGATACGGCTTCAAATGGAAGGGGAGTTGTACATGTAGGCAATATCCTTCAACCATACATGCATTTAGAAGGTCGAACCATTCCAGCCAAAAAAGGAACCCTGCAAAAGTTGGGGAAAAAAGTGCATTCAATAAATATGCAATATGATGATATACGAAGTATTAGTTAGTGAAGTAAGGCAGTACTTCAGACTGCAAATTCTTTGCTCCCCTGCCTCTTAACTATGAAACATGAAATTTTGGGAAATAGCAATATGAAAAGTGGAGGAACAAAAATAAGGGAAATGTGAGCTTAGAGCTCTTAAGATAACTTTAGATGGTGAAATGTTTACATGTTCTATTGGCTAGCACTGGTGTAAAGCATGCAAACACTGTGCATGTTCTTGAATTGGATGGTCCTAAACAGCAGGAACAATGCAGTAATAAGATATGAGTGCATGATGGTCAGTCCACTAAGATGAACAAGACAATTAAGACAACTTGCCTTGGTGTCGTAGAATTTGAGGAAGAAACGATCCTTGGGAACAGACAACTTGGTCTCGAGGATTGAGGCAATGGCAGCACTCAATTTCTTGTTGGTATCAGGATTAAGGCCACCAATAGAGACAAGTTCACCATATGCTGCAGGCTGCTCAGTTCCACCAAATGCCATTGGCACTGATCCTTTGAGTACCACCATAACATACTGCACAGCATGTCATTGGCCAGGTTATATGTCAAAGACGCATAACTTGAAAGAAAGCAATACACAAGGTCATTTCAGGCAAATTAACAACCTTGATCATTTTCAGGTATTTAACAAAATATATTCAAATAAATAAAATGAAAAAAAAAAAAAAACTCAGGACATAAAGTCCCACACATCAGCCAATCAAACAGTTCCATATTAGAGCTTTCAAGACCAAAGATAGGCAGGAGCATCATTGACATTTCAGTATATGATAGTGATATTGCTAATGTCAGAGAGAGATTTAAATGTGCTAGTGTAGATAACCTTACACATGAAAAATTGTGGAGAATTTGTGTTCTTTTTGTTAAGGATTGGGGACGTGGGGGGATCTCCAGGGTGTGAAGAAAAATTGTGAGCAGAAAAGGGGGGACAATCCAGATAACCAACAAACTAATATCAGGTGCTGATTTACATTACAAAAGCAAACAACCACTGTCCTGTTCCCTTTTCTGCCAGCAAATTTAAGGACTGAGCATTTGGAGAATATATGCCTGTATTTTTGTAGAATCAATGGAAGAAACAGAAGATGTGTCAGTTTATATTATGAGCTTTCCTTGACAATGGAATGTCCACATCTAAGGAAAGTATTCTAAAATTACAGATAGCCGTAGGGGTCAGGACGACAGGTTTTCACAGTGAGATGTATTTCATGGATTTAGCTTAGTCGAAATAAGCCAAGCATATCAAATCTATGAGGCAGACCAGCTATGTTGATTACTCAAGAGTCACAAAGCATCAAGAAACCAGAGAAAATTAAATACACCTGAAATTCACGTCTTTCACTTTCCAATAAAATTTCCTTATCAGAATAAGAACAAGGGACAGATTAGGTTACAAAAGAGTACATTTTAGCATTGTTCCTCAAACAATTACATGGCAAGGAAACAAAAAAGTTCTTAAAGAAAGAGTGCTTCGATCACACTTCTTCATTGTTGCCACCTAATACACATGAATCACTTGCGTAATACAACAATTTATTACATCAGTGGCTCTTATTGAGCATAAGGAGCAACAGAACTTTGAAACATAATAACAAAGAGTACAAGGGGTGATAACATAACATAAAACAACTGAAACCTTAATCCCAAAGATGGGTTTCAATTGCATGAACCAAGACATTATCTCCCACACTTGCCAACAGTGATTCTCTCCTTTCTTTCTCTTCAATCGATGTCATATGCTCTAGCAAACCCAACTTTTTTATGTTCTTAACTCCTTCCATCTAAGCTATCTTTGGTCTTCCCCTTCATCTTTTAAAATCTCCTTGATCCTAACCCTCTCCTCTACTTTCCTTAGTGGCGCATCTTCTAAACTCTGCCTGACATGCCTAGACTAACACAACAGGTTCTCCCTTATTTTATCATCAGATGTCTGCAATTCTAGTTTCCTTCTAGTATCTTCATTTCTAATTGTATCCTTTACGGTGCTCCCACACATCCATCTCAACATATGCAACTCCTCAACTTTCTTATACTATCCTTTTTAAATGTCCAACATTCTAACCCATATAACAACATTGGTATGATAATCCTTCTATAAAATATTCCCTTTATTTTCAAACACGCTACAGTCACACAATACCCCACTTGCTGCTCTCCACATTAGCCAATGAGACCTAATATTCTGGGTTACTTCTTTGTTAATTCTCCATTCTTCTGCAAAAATGACCCAAGGTAAAAGACCTGCTCATAGGCACCTCCTTACCATCCAATGTTACTATATCCTCACTTGACTTCCTCATAGTGCTAAACAACATTCCATGTATTTAGTCCTACACCGGGATTCTAACTTTTGACTTCATTGCTCCAAAATGGCATTAACCCCAATTCTAGTCTTATCCACCAAAACAATATTATCTGCAAATGCAGCAGCATGGTATCTCACCTTAGATAGATCTTGTTATTTCATCTAATACCACTACAAAGAAGGACGGACTCAATGCCAACCCTTGGTGTAGTCCAATCATAAAAGTGAAACTCTTGGTGTAATAGTGATAACACGAACATGAGTAATTAACTTCAAAGATGAGGATGGTAAGAGTATGTAGCATTACACATTCTCCAATTCAAACCAACAAGCACATGAATAAAAATGAAGTAGAGCTAGTCACTATTGATAGTATTGCTAAAATCCTTAAAAATCCTCCAAACTTATTAGCTAGAAAATATATTTTCAAGAAATGAAGGTAGTAAAATAACATAATTAAATGGGTCTTTAGATACAAATGGACCAAATGAACAGGAGATTATAAATACCATATCAAACCCCATAGTGTATAAACAAGGAACAGAAGATACACTGTGCATTGGTATCCTTATGGGAAAGGATTTGATGAAAACGAAGGAATTCAGACAGGAAATTTCACAAGTCAAAAGTGACCATTGCAACAAAGGTGAAGACTGAAGATGTAATGTGAGATGAGAGAAAGAGGAGATGCGAAAGGTAGTAAAAGGGAAGCAGTGTCAATTTTATGGCAGCAAAAGGAGATTAATGCTTGCTCATCATTAATATTTTAAACCTCTAATATAAAAATGTATTAATCTCCCTCACCATTATTTTTGCTGATTTTCTACTGTATTATATTTCTTTTCAAAGTTCCTAATTTTTACTAAAATGAATAGATTTTTAGTAAACTAAATTTATTTTCACTAAATTGAAATAACTTTAATTTAATATTATTTTTATAAAGTGAAATGAACAAGGCCTTACTCATTGGCAAGTTCATTAATGCCGTACCACACGGCAACACCAACAAAGAAGTTATTACTGCTAATTAAGCACTTATTACTAAATTTAAGCCGATAAAAACAAGTTATTACCACGATACTCAATAAAGCTATTAGAACAAGCCTTCATAATTTAATCAATCACAGCTAATTTTGCACTCAAATAAAAAAAATAATAGAAAAAAAGCAGGAAAATATACACTTACCACTAAATATTGCAAAAATAATCTACCACAACACAAACTAAACTAAACTTCAATTCAAAAATTTATTCACATCTATCAATACATTCTATCAGCATAATGCTTGCGAACAACGCCACCAAACCACGTCCATAATCTCACTCCACAGTTCACCATAAACACAACAAACCAGGTCTAATTACAGAATTAAAAACATCAAAAAGAAAAAGGAAAAAAAAACTAACACTAAATGAAAAATTACAAATAATGACAAATTCCATTATTATTTGTAATCTTATCATTATTTAAAATCTCGCACAATCCTGAACAATGCAAATGACTACTGAACAAGACCAAAAATTAACCCCTCATTTATTATCCGACACAATCACACCACAAATTTGAGGTAAAAAAAAAAAACCGAAATTCAGGCTAAAATAAAAAAAAAAAATTAACTCAAAATTTGGAAGCTATCATAACAAAAAGGGAAATGGAGGAGAGAGAATATACAGCTTCAGGTTTTCCGATGAGTTTAGCGACGGCGGAAGTGGCTTCGGAGAGGACGGAGGAAGTGTCGACGCCGTCAAGGTTGGCGTTGGTAGAAATGTTAAGGCACGGCATTTTTCTTCTTCTTGAAATGGAAATGATAACCAGTTGTGAAGTGTATTATCAATGAATCAGCAAAAACCCTTGGTATTACACTGTTTTGGTGTTTTTTGATGGAGTTGAATCAACGCTATTATCGAAACTTCCAGAAAATTATCGTTGTTTTTGGACCATGTTTCTTGGGCTTTTTCATCACTTGTTTTTAAATCATACGGAGTACTTCTTCTTAGAATTGGGCTGTCTTGGCAGGGTATTGACATCATTTTCGAAATGGGGGTATGGATATCATTTAAAAGAAACACGATACGACATGACAAATTGACAAGTAGAATAAAACTGGCAAATATGAAGTATGTTGAGTTAAGACGATATTTGGTGATCAAGTTTTCTTATTTATTACCATTTGGTGATTAACTTTTTTGACATTGCAGTTTGGTGATTGAGGTCAAATTTCCGGTGGTTTTAATTAAATTGTGGGAAAAAACTTAATCACTTCTGGATAAAAACTTAGTCACCTAAGGTTAACCAATAGGAATTAAGGTGATTTTTTTTTTAATCGAGGACATCAGTTATCGAAATGACGTTTCTGCTCCTTTGTTCCCCAATTTCGCGCGCTCTCCCCCTCTTCTCTTCTTTGTGTACTATTTACCCAGTGAAGACAAAAAAAAAGGATATTCTCCTATTCCTTTTCATCTTCTATTCTCTGTTGGAGTGAAGTCATTTCTGGAAAAATTTTGCATGAACAGATCATAATTGCATTTTAAGGTAAAATTCTGATTTTTTACACTTTTTTTTGTAATTGCTTTTATTTGTTGTGTTTTGATGATGATTTGTTGATCGATTTAGGGTTTATAATGAAGTGTTTTTTTTAAAAAAAAACTCCTTTCATCTTCTAATTGTTGTGATTGTTAGGTTTAATCATAGAATTATGTTTATATTCTGTCGATTTTATGTTTTTTATTAGTATTGATCAAATTTGATGTTTGTTACTCAAGTAATTTGGTGCTTAGAAGTGAGTGATTTACATTGTTATTATTTTATAAAAACAGAGTATTTGTTTGCATGAATTATGTGTAATTGTGGTTGTGTTAACACCATGATTATTGGTTGTTTTGTTAGTGTAGATGGATCTAGTAGACGACCCTTATCATATGGCGGCTCTAAAGGATGCCCCACAATCCCACATGCGTTATCAATTCCAGAAATTTTATGCATGTACATCTTTCCTAAGTTGCCCCCCTAAAGCCCAAGGCATGTGCAATGGTGTGTGTAAGCACTGGAATGAACTATGGTATTTTAAAGTCTGGATTCCTAATTTTGTTAAAGCCACACAGAAAAGTGAAAGGTGGTGGGTGGCTAAAGATATAATGAGAAATAATGGGTATGACTTTCATAATGGGATGGTTTAGGATTGGGCTGAATTTTTGGATGGGTTGCGTTGGTTATTTAAGGATGAAGAAGCTATGTACAACAAGAAAGGGAAGAGGGAAGAAGCAACTCAACCAGGTGGGAAGCAGAAGAGGATTAAGCTAGAATAGTGTTGATAGTGGTAGGTGAATTGCCATGTGAGTTTTTTTTGGGTAACTAGAGGGCAGTCTTTTGGCTTTAAACTGACTTTAAGTAGTAGTTGTTGCTGTTAGCTTTTTAGAAGCAGTCAGTTTAAGTAGAACTTGTTGATCTAGGTAGGAATTAATGTATAGATTAATCTGATCTAGGTTCTTTTGCTCTTGTCATGGTTTAGTGTGACAGTGTACTTTTTGCAATTGTAAGGCAATGTCACAATTATGAAAAAGATATTGATGTACTTATTTGATTATAATTAATGAAATGATGATATTGAAGTACTAATTTGATACTAAATTTTTGTGCTGGTTTATATGCTCTGTCTTCTTATTGAATATCTTTATTTATTTGCCTTGATTACATTATTTGTAGACGGAGGACATACCTATGTCTCTTATTGTGCATTATGGTGGTGAATGGAAAAACATCCCTGTTTTGGACTATGTTGATGGTAAAATTAGATTTATTTGATGAACTTCCTTTCTGACTTTAATGTGGCTGGGTTGAAAAAGGGTCATTGCTAGCTTAGGATATGATGACATCATTAAGCTACATTATTGTGATCCTAGTAAGACACTGAATAATGGGGTCAGGTTTCTAAGTTATGATGATACTACATTTGTAAAATTTCTGAGCTTACTAGTAAAGTATAGAATAGTTGATCTGTACACTGAGCATGAGGTTGGTGAAAGTGATGTTGGCAGTGTGCTTAGGACTGCTAGGGGCATTGAAAGCTGGTTAACTAGGCAAAAAGAAATTGGAGATTGTAGTAACATAACATAATCTTTTTTGGGGCAACATGGGAGTGAATATGTAGAAAACCAAGTTGATGATGAAATCGACTATGATGATGAGGGTAGTGACCAGTCTGATGAGGAAGTTCAGAAGGCAAGAGAGGATTTGCTCCTCCATAATAAAAAGGAAAAGGAATTGGATAAAGAAGTGGCCTCCCTTAATGCAGGGGATCTTAGTGATGATGATATGTGTGAAGAAAGTGACAGTGACTGTCCTGACAGTCCTCATGAGTCAGATGAGGAAGATTATGGTCACTTACTTCCTAGCAACCCCAAACAGAAGAAGAGGAAGACATTGACTCATTCTGCTCATATGTTGACACTGAGGCCTGATGATGTGGGGCATTTCTTCTTAGGACAACAATTTGAGGGTGCTGTTGAGTTTAGGAAGGCATTAACCAACTATAGTGTAAGCATGGGAAGAGATTTAGTGTTTACTAGGAACACAAAAGATGCTTTGGGTTAAGGTGAGTCCCTGGTTGGCAGTTAAGGCAAGAAAAATAGGTCAGGAACTTATCTTAGGGGAGTACAAACAACATTACTCTCTTCTACACAGATATGCAGAAGAAATCAAAAGAGCAAATTCTTTGAACACAATCAAGTTTGGACTGAATCAAGGGCAATTTCAAAGGCTATATATTTGTTTTGATTCCATTAAAAAGGGCTTTTTGGTAGGTTGTAGACCTTTTTTTGGGATTGATGGTTGTTTTTTGAAAGGTCCATATGTGGCCAACTACTTGTGGCTATGGAGAAGGATGGAAACAATCAAATGTTTCCCATAGCTTGGGCATGTGTGAAGGTTGAAAACACTGATATAGTTGGGAATGGTTCCTAGAGCTACTAGTAGTTGACTTGGGGACAATGAATTGCTATGGCTACACAAACATGAGTAACCAACAAAAGGGACTTCTAAAGGCTATATCAAATGTTTGGCCTGATGTAGAGACAAGAGTTTGTGCAAGACATGTCTACTGCAATTTTAGGAGCAAATTTGGAGGGGGTCTTGAGTATGGGAAAGGTTTTTGGAAGATAGCAAAGAGAACTACAGAGAATGATTTCAATGCAAATATGGAAACATTCTCTAAGATAAATGCTGAAGCTGGAACAGATTTGCTGAACAGGAATTACAAGAAATGGGGAAGGACTTACCAAACAACACAACCAACTTGTGACAGCATAGACAACAACATGAATGAGGTATTCAATGCATACATTCTATCTTCTAGGCATAAACCTATAATCACCATGTTAGAGGACATAAGGGAGGGGATCATGGAAAGATTGCATAGGAAAAGAGACTTCATGATTAGAAAAGACATCCCCATTTGCCCTAGAATCCAAAAGGCATTAGAGAGATCAAAGGTGGCTGCAAGAGGGTGGGTGGCTTACTGGGATGGAAACTTCTCATATGGTGTTAGGGAGGGGGGGCACTCAACTTAGGTATGTGGTGAGTTTACTTGATAGAACATGCAGTTGCAATGCATGGCAACTTAGGGGGTATCCTTGCAAGCATGCTGTCACTGCAATATGGAAGGCTATGGAGGTCCCTAGACACTATGTTAGCCATTGGTATTGTAAGAACACCTATTTGAAGGCTTATGATTACCCCTTGAGCCTTTGAATAGTCCAAATAAATGGCCACAGTCAAATTACCCACCTATAATAGCTCCTCACTTCAAAAAAATTCAGCATAGACCAAAGCAAAAGAGGAGACAACCAGCTGGAGAGGCTCAAGGATAAAGGCTCACAAGACAAGGTCATCATCATAAATGCAGCATTTGTAGACAGACAGGCCACAACAAGAAGACCTGTCCTCAGGCAACTGCATCAGTTTCATCAAACACAAACAGGCAGGAAGGGCATGAGTATCACCAAGCAACAACTACTCAAATCACTCAACAGTCATAATAGTCACAGACCACTCAACATTCACATACCACCATATCAATGCACAATAGGGGGATTAGATAGGCTGTACACATACCCCAATGGTTATTAGAGAATGGGAGTGGTAAGCAAAATCAGTTAAATATACTCACAAATGCACCAGTTTAATAATACTAACATTTTTATTTCTTTGAAATTTAAGTACATGGATGCTACTCAAACACATAGTGGGACTACTTGATGAATCTGATCTACTGCATCACTTAAATAGAATTACAATAACCAAGGTAACTATTAAAAATAATATTACAGCACTTTGTATATTAAATTTCTTCCTGATTTCAGTTGCTTCTTCCTCCAATTCCATATTCCTTTTCAGCATAATAATCAATTCATATTCAATTTCTGCATCATGTTGGTTATCAATCCATTTGTAAAAATTGCAGCTATCAGTTTGGTTGTATTTGGGGCATATAAGAAATCTCATGAAAGAATATTTCACTGTCTTTGATACTCTTTGTACTGGCCTTCTATTGCAATCAAAAAAAATATTGGATCTTTCCATAACCAGTTTTGTTGAATGTTCTTCTTGCAGGATTAAAAAAAAAAAATTAAAAGGCTGTGATTTCCTGTGATTTTTGAAGCGCTGCAATGGACTATGGTGAAGTTGTTTTTTGATATTGTTCTGTTTCTGTTGTTAAGAAGAAGGCATTCAATTTGTATTGAGTAATGACTAGTTTTTTTTGGAAACACAAATTTTATAAATAAATCTAAACTTAATTCTGACAGGTGATTATGTTTTTAAATGAGGTGATCATGTTTTTTGGAGGTGATTAAGTTTTAGTATGGTTAAAGGTGAGTTAAACAATACTCAGGTGAGTTAAAACCATAAAAAATTTGACCTCAATCACCAAACCGCAATGTCAAAAAAGTTAATCACCAGGCCAAATGGTGATAAATGTGAAAACTTGATCACCAAATATTGTCTTAACTCATGTTATGTTGTGTTCATTCATGTTCGAAAATAAATGGGTTAAAAAACTTCTATAGTAACTTAAAACCGTTTAACTAAACAAAACGTGTCTTCATGTTAACCCACTTTATTAATCAAGTCATAAATCGTAGACGCTAACTCGCTCTTTTCATATCCGATTTATATCGCGTTGTAGTGTCGTGTCAGCTTTTGTCAGCTCTAATATTAGGTACAGTATGCATGACCTTTGAAGATGAATCATTCCTAAAAATATCTTCACTTCCTTTACTTTATGAAAATATTGTTTACCCTTTGAGCGCAAAGAGCAGTTTTAAATGCACACAATATTTTATTTTTGGTTGATTAATACAAGTACTTTACTTATTGAATATTTGAAGATGTACGTTTCTCACATTAACTAATACAAAGTATAGATCGAAAACAAATATAGATTGAAAAGAACACACTTTGGACTGAACAAAGGTCTATAACTCCTTTTTTCTTTGCATTATCAATCTTTCATACGAAAGTTTCAGTTGTGTCTCTTTTCATCAATCTCTTAGACACATGTATGTGATGTCAATTGGGCATCCAAAGAAGACAAATAACTGCATATTTAAAAGAGCATGACATTATGATAGACATGAAAATTGTAGCAGACCAGAAGCGTTAGTTAAATGAGTTCAAATATTGTTACAGTTAGTGTTGGAGCAGTGGAGCACAATTTTACATAAATAGAAAAAAGATTTCAATCTAGAATCCAATTGCTTCAATATGGCTCCTATACAGCATGGAATTGTTCTTAGATTATTAATTTAAAATATTTTTATATAGAAGTAATGATGAAGAAAAATACAATTTTTATATAAAAAAAAAAAGAAAGAAAAGTGTAGTATATACAATAATACAACATGTCATAACTCATAAGAGACCTGCATTTCTAAGTCAACATACCACATGTACTTTAAAATCATAACCACGAATTATACATTAATTGGGTTTTGGGTCCGGGTGATGCCCCATATTATTATTTGGAACTGATTATTAATTTGCAATGTAATTTATGATTTAATTTTCTTGTAATTAAATTTATTGTTCATATGACACTTGATATATATTAATATTTTGTATTCAATAAATTGCATAAAAAATCACATACCTTGTGGTAATGCACTTAGCTTTAGAATAGAGGTGAGTTGGATTGTTGAAGTATTTATAGCACCTCAATGCTTAGTGGATTAGTAGATTACAATTGTGCTACAATAATCGCACCTTGTAGTTTAGGCTTTTAGCACCAATGTGGACAATTGTGCCACAATACAATTAATTACAATTTTGGGACATCTATATCTATACTTGGTATTTAAAAACACAAACCCTAGTTGCCACATGTCTTTCATTCTTTCTATATTTTGTTAATAATTTGTCACATGTCATTTTCTTTTACATTATTTTTTTATAATCCTTTTATTTTATTAACCTTCATTATATGTCATTAGTTATTGACTTAATGTAAAACTTTTTCATCTTCCCCCATTTATGTACTAATAGCTCTTATAATTTTGTAACTTGCCCTAAATTCAACATGTTGAATTTTTTAATCTTTTCCTCTTCTCCATCCATCATTCAAATTCAATTAAATTAAATGTGTTATTTAAATCATTGACCCTTTATCATCTACCGATATTTCCTCTACTAATATCTAATTAAGCATTTTATACATCATCTAAACTCCCCTTATATAATTGACACAAAAATATCTCTAAAAACGTTGTACAAAAACTGTGCTACAATGAAAATGGTGATTGCAAGGATATAAATTAGATCTCAAAGTAAGAAATTTTGAATGAATAGAAACATAAAAGTGTAATTGTGTAACCATTTGGTGTTCAGTTATTTGATTTTATATAACTACCATTGTAGGTGTCTTTCGAAGTGCGCCTACGTTAAAGCATGTTGTGAATATGCTTGACACTCATAGGAAGTGGGAATTGACATAATACGATTAGGGACAAAGCAAAGTAAGGAGCCGCCAACAAGTTTATAAGGAACTTGTAAACCGTTCACAGATCATAAAAGGCAACCACGATTAAGGGACAACGAAAGGAAACAACGATTGACCCGTGAAGGTTACACCCCATTCATAATCCATGAGATTACTAACTCCATATGGTTTGGAACCATGAAAGTAGGATTGGGGATGATGGTACGAAGTGAGTCATGAAGTCACATTCGCCCGTATTGGCCTCTACTCGATTCTTATAGTGAAAAGTTATTCCTGCGATCTCAAAGGCATGCAAACAAAGATTTAATTTGCTCCAAACTATTATTATGCTACATTGGTTTAATATTAATGCAACACATAATTCTAATATATTAATGATCACTTGATTAACAATAAGATTAAAAAGGATCCTAAGTCGGCTGTCCAAATTATCTTATTAGGCGTGATTTTCAATTACATATTCCCTTTAAACATGCAATATGGTGATCAATAAGTATAATAAAATAAACATTAATATTGGAAGCAATTTAACAATAATAACGTTTGTCAATCAAATATAAATTAACCTAATCATGATACTAGCAACAAAAATAAAAATAAGAGTAATTAAGTGATTAATTACTCACTTTCCGCGTTTTCTTGAATTGCTACATCATGAATAAACTGTTAGTAACTTCAATAAAAATATAAATCAAATAAAAATTAAATTAAATTAATGTATATTTAATTCGGTCCAAACCCTCAGTTAATTATGCCTTTCACGCCTTGGTTTAAGGACGGAACCTCGGGTCAAGTATGGACTCCTTGGAGTGCTTAGGGGAAGTATTATGGAAGAATAATAAGGCTAGAAATTAGACTAAAGAGGGAGAAGAAAATGATTTTTGGTGTAGGGAGAGAGAGAATGATTTTTTGGTGTAAAAGAGAGGAAGAGAGAATGATTAAATACTCAAACCGACCGATAATGACGGTGAAAGGTTGTTCATCATCGGGTTTGGTTTTGGGGAGACATTTTTAGGTGTCTATAACCATGCATGCTTTTTTTAAAAAAAAAAAATTTAGACATGAACTACCATGCATGCTAATGTTCTTTATAGACTGTAAAAGTTAATTTTTTAAATGATTTTTGTATTAAAAATAATAACTTATACACATCCTGTGTGTAGAACGGTCCCAAAAGCAAGTTTTGTATAAAATACGTTACTTTTGTTGTAAAAAGTACATGCTATTATTGTATAAAGTATTTATTACACAAGTTAGCCTCTTTTTGTCAAAGTAAATGTTGGATAATGTTTTACATTGGAGTAGCAAGTAATGCATATATCTAACCTTTGGTCCTTTGGTGTTGGAACTTGGAAGAATTCTTGGGAATCACATATATAGAAACAATGCTTATCTTAGGAAGAAAATACTCATGCACTCTATTATTACACTAGTACAAAATTGGGCTTAAGTAACACCCTTTGGTAACACTTAAACAAATTCATGATTTTTTGATTTTTACGTAACACTTTTGTAACATTGTGGTATTAGGTCACATTTTTTGTAACACTTTAAAATTATGTAGCACTTTCTTGTACCACTTTGATATTATGTATCACTTGGTTGTAACACTTTGTGTTTTTTTTTTAATTTCTTTTTTCTTATCAAAACTTTTTACCTGCTTCAAAATAAAATAAAGTTTATTGAAAAAATAAAAGAGGAAAAGAAACAAGGCAAAACAAAATGCCAAAAACGAAACAAGGCAAAACCATAAAAAGCGAAGAGCGACAACGGAACAAAACCAAACGAAACTCAAAGTCTCAAGCGTCACAACCCTAACTCCCGCTTTGTCTCTCTCACATCATTTTGATCGGCGACCACCAAGCATCGTACCACTGCCGTAGTAAGCATCAGCCACCATCTACGACGATAACCAAGCACCAGCGCACCTTTTTGTTGTAGTCTGTAGATCTGTGACCACCAGACCACCAGTCCTCACTCTCCTTCATGCCGCGCCGCCTCACTGACCGGAGTGACCACCGATTGAAGCATAGCAACTGAGCAAGGTATTATTGTATTAAAATTTAAATTATGAACTATTTAATTTGTTATTTAGTTTTAATTTTAATTATGTATAATTTCAGTCATTTGATTGATTAAATTGAACTGAATTGTTGATTTATTGTTCATTATTGTGTTATTACTTAATTAATTATAATTTTAGTCTTTTATAATTTCATAATCTTCACAGTAATTTGACAAGGTTGTTCAATATGTTCATTGTGGTGTTGAAAAGTTGAATTGAATTGAACTTTATTTGGTAAAAATTGGTACTTTGTAGTCTTGATTAGTTGGTTATTGAACTTATTGTTTTGTACTCTGATGTAATGGGTAGAGCTATCACGTTTTGTGCTTTGTTGGAATCTGGTGATTTGGTTTATGCCCACCAACTGTTTGATAAAATGCCCCAACCAGATGCTTCTATATACAACACCTTAATCAGGGGTTATTACTTGTTTGCAATTCTATTTGGATAGGGAATGCTTGATTTTGTACTTACAAATGTTGTAGGACTCTGTTTTGCCTAACAATTTCACGTATCCTTCTCTTGTTAGAGCTCGTCGCATTAATAATTGGATTTTAGAAGGCAAGAAAATTCATGCTCAAATTGTTAAATGATGGGTTTTCTCATAACGATTTGCTTTACATGTATGTGAGTTTTGGGTTTTTAGAGAAATCTCGTCGGGTTTTTGATAAGATGCGACAAAGCTCCGAAATGATGGATTCAAAATTTTTAATGATGGATTCAAAATTTTACTTTTACATCCGCCACTACTGTTGTATCTACAACTTTGAATTTCCCTCTATTGGTACAGTGCTCAAACAAAAAACATTACTTTATCTTATGAAACTGCTCCTTTTCTTGAGTTTTACTAATAACTTAACCACTTAGATAGGTGTAATAGACTAACCTTGGGGTGGGAGGGATACTATTGGCATCATAGTGTATTTCAGTTATAAGGCAGCTTGGGAAATAGGTTGAGGAGCTTACATTGAGGGAGGAAATTTGTGGACAATGGACCAGACTGATCGAACACCACCAGGCAGAACTGTCATATTTCCAATTTGTGAGTGGTAGCTTCTTTTTACAAATTCCAACTGATCTTCTTCGACGAATTTATCAACTTTCCAAATTCCAAACCTAATATTATTTGAGCAAAGTCAATTTAGAATGGCGCATGATTTAAATTGGTCCAACCTTCTGAAAACAATTTTGAGCCTTAATTTTCACTGGACTTGAAAAATGACATACATCTACATACTTTTATAAATTTTAACTTTCATAAATGGGTTGTCCATACCCACTGTATATGATATGTACCATGAATAACATGCTTTAATTAATAAAGTAGAGCTAAAATAAACAAAGCTTGCTGCATTTTTTTTTCTGCTGTAATAACAAAAGTATCACCATGGTTTTATCAGTAAAATTACCTTGTTATATATGTTTTTCTTTTCTAATGTGCTTCGTTATCTCGGCTCAAAGTTACAACAACATAACCTTGGGCTCATCCCTTATTGTTGGGGATATCTCTTAGCCTTGGGTATCTCCCTCCAAAGACTTTGCTTTCGGGTTTCAGAAGATAGAGTCTAGAAGTTTTCTGTTAGCCATATGGTTCAATAGAATACCCGAAAGGACCATAACTTGGTCTTCCAACAGAGAAATTCCAGTACCCAGGGGTTCGAAAGTAGAACTTACTGCAAGAAGCTTGATACTTACTAACCCAAGTGGGCGCAAGGTATGGAGAGCTGGGCTGTTGGCTGGCAGCAGCAGAGGAGTGACACTTGCCTCTGCATCTATGCTCGACACTGGAAACTTCGTGCTGATGGATCGAGCTTCTGCTGTACTTTGGCAAAGCTTTGATGAGCCAACCGACACTCTTTTGCCTACCAGGCGCTGAATCAAGGCAACCGACTCATTGCAAGTTTTTTTTAGAAAGAATTACTCGAGTGGAAGGTTCTCATTCAACTTAGGATATAACGAAAATCTTGCATTATACACCACATATTTCCCCCTTTTCAACACACTGAACACCAACTATGAGACGTTCGCTGATCAGGGATTCGGAAGACTGGTGGTGTTTGATTAGTCTGGTTCACTGTACCTTGCTGCCTTATAACTAATTTGATGGTAACTAATTTGATGGGGTTTATGTTGTTTCATTGAATGGTTGACGTATCATTTTCTCTTTAATTTGAAGGATAATAATGCGGTTGTATCTATATTCAAGTTTTTATATATATATATGTGTGTGTGTGTGAATTATATAAGTAGTAGTTTATAAGAATGTGCTAATGTATCTATATTCTTGGCCTCAATACTAATTGTTAAAAACTCATGTGATACTTTTAATGATTTTCATGAATGCTTTATTTTTGGTTCTTTGATATTTGATGCTTTCTCACATATATAGGATCAATAGTAACACTGACACATTTGCATATTTTGTAGCTGCTGATGTTTGGGGAGATCGATAGATACTGCGGAGTACAAGATTAACTTAGATAAATGTTTTTTTTCAAGATTGAAAAGTCGGAGCTCTCTGCATTACTGCTGTTGCTGCTGTCAGTGTTACTGTTGTCACTATTTCTGCTGAATGCTGCTATCGTTTGCTGCTATCGCTATTTGTTGACCTGCTAGCTGGCTAGCTGTTGTTGCTGTCTACTATTAATAATGTTGTGTGTTGTAACTACGTTGACTGCTATTTTGCTCTTTCTGTTTTTGAATTTGGTGGTCTAGAAACAAAGTCGGCTTTTCGTTTAGTTTGGATTATTTGATTGTATATGGATTTTTTTACAAGAAAATATGAAATTATATCCATTCAAATTATTGTCTATCGTAAATATTAATTTCACAATCATGGTTAATTGTTTTCAATTTTAATATTATATTTATACATTTTTAAAAAAACCGCATTTTTAAATAATAATAATAATAATAATAATAATAATAATAATAATAATAATAATAATAATAATAATAATAATAATAATAATAATAATAATAATAATAATAATAATAATAATAATAATAATAATAATAATAATAATAATAATAATAAGAAGAAGAAGAAGAAGAAGAAGAAGAAGAAGAAGAAGTTTGCATAAGAAGAAGTTTGCATAAAGTGTTATATAATGTCGAATAAAGTGCTACTATATATGTCAAAAGATGATTGAAAAATGTTACTTAATAATCAACATTGTGTTCCATTAGTTCAAAAAGTGATACATAATGTCGGATAAATTGATACTATATGATGTTAAAATGTTACTAAAGATAAGTAAGTGTTACATAAGAAATAAAAAGTAACACTTCAAAAATGATACTAGTAATATAAAAAGTGTTACATAAGAGGGTTTATAGTATCACTATTGAAAGTGTTACCATACATTACCCAAAGTGTTACAAAAGACCTTAGGGAACATGGGCGGAAGTATCACCCAATAAAGTGTTACCTATTGTCTATAATAACACTTTTACTACTTTATGTAACACTTTTTGGATGTTACCTAAGGTTAGTTTTGTACTAGTGTTAGTTTGATTTGTATAACATTGTTCATCTTCAACGCGCATAATAATTAAACTTTATTATGATATGAAGTATATAATACAATCATACATATATATAGCTGTGGGGAATATTTCAAGCGTTAATCCCCTAGCTTGAACCCCACTGTGATCATACACTAAAATACGGTGGCGTCCAAAGGGAAAGAAGATAGAGCAAAAGAGTCGCCAACAAGTTTTTTTAGGAACTTGTAAAGCGTTCACGAGGTGAAGGTTACACCCCTTAACGATTCAAGAGATCGTCAACTCCATAAGGTCTAGAACCAAATAGGGTTCGGGGATGAAAGTACAAATCCAACCTAAAAGAGATTGGACCTGCCCTAATAATAGGCCTCTACTTTATTCTGATTGTATTCATGTGCGCTTTCTGACTAACATTACAATCAATAGGATTAACCCTAAACCTGTTTATCTATGTTGGTTGAATATTAATGCACAAATATATCTATTATTGACGATCACTTGAATTATAATCAAATTAACCCTAACAAGATTATCAATTATCTTATTAAGCATGATTACAAGTACAAATTCCCTTTAAACATGCATAAAAGGCGTGATCAAGCAATACAAATAAATATATCAAGCAATATAATAAATAATCATCATAATAATAATTATAACAATCATAAAATTATAATCATAATCAAAACAATTATAAAAATAATCATGAATCATGTTAAAGCATAATAATAATAAGATCCTAGGCATGATACTAACAAGATTAATAACAAACCCTAGCATGTCACTAAACATTAAAGATCAAAACTTTAACCCTAACATGATACTAGCAATCAAAAATATTAGGAAGAATATAAAAGGCATCATACTTTTAATCATGCTTGATATTACAGTTACCCTAGACATGATACTAGAAATTTATTGTTGTCACCCTAAACATCAAATTAAGGAAAACATCCTAACATGATACTAGGAATCAAAATAACAATCTAAGCATGATTTCTATATCATAATATCAATTATATCATAATATCAATTAAACAATTAAAGCACTTACTTTGATGCCTCGTACCTCTTTCTAATAACAAAATACACACGTTAGTAACTTCAAGGAAAATAATAATCAAACAATTAAATTAAATAATAATTGAAAGAGAGATTTGAGACCAAACCCTCAGAAATTAAACCTTTCACGTCTAGGGCGAAGACAACTTCGAATATGGCTAGGTGTATCTAGATCTAATGAATGCGAAATTTTTATATTTGAGAAAAGGCTAGTCTAGAAAAGAGAGAGAGAGAGAGTAATCAAGAGAGTCTTAATGAGAGTTGTGAGAATTGATTAATCAAAACGGAGTTTTTACGACGCTATAAATAAAGAAAATCAGCCAAAAAGATAAAATATCAAAAACAGAAATCTGACGCAAAAAACCGAGTTGGCGCCAGACGCTGACCTTAGTGCCAGACGCTAAGGTTGGCACCAGTCGCCAAGTCTAGCGTCAGGCGCTACAGCTGGCGTTTGGCGCTGACTCAGAAATCCACGCGTTTTCTTAAAATCAGATAAAAATTGCCGTACAGGAGGATAAATTCGTATTTTCCTTAAACAATGTTCTTTGATTCTAATTAAAACTCTAAAAAGTCAACAAAAGTCAATTTATCAATGCTAATTGAATTAGGAATGAAAAGCACTTTCTAGAAGAATCTAGAAGACTAAAACCATTCCTAATTGCATTAGGAATGATAAATCTATATTAGGCCCTCCCCTAGATTATTGGGCCGCATATAAGGCTCAAACCGGGCACAGTTCAGTAAATTGACCATAACTTCCTCAATATTTATCGGAATTGGGCTTATAATATATCGTTGGAAAGCCCTTGTCAAGCCCCATCCAACTACACTAATATTGGACCCATATCATGGACCAACCAAACTGGATTGGCTGTTTTCTTAAAATGAGTTTTCAAAAACAGAGAGAAGAGAAAAGAAATTAAAACTATCCGCAACACTAGACTTTCCACACTTTCACTTCATTCGATTATGATTCGATGTGAAAGGTACTCATCACTGGGTTTGGTTTTGGGGAGACACAAATGGGTGTCTACTGAAGCCCCCACTTTGACTGAGTTTGGAGAAACACAAGTTTCGAAAACAAAAGTCAAAGTATCGACATGGACGGAGAATGATTCAGAACGTTCTGCGATCCTGAATCACTCTTGTAACGCCAATGCCTACAAACTAGCGTTAGTTAAACAGATAAAAGAGTTAAGAAACGCGTATCTTGCACCGTCGAGCATACGTCTCTGAAGGTAACCGATTTGTTGCCGCATTGCTGTTATTTTGACGACCTCCTGCCAAGAGAATGTCATCCCGCTTGAAAACCGTTATGCTTGTAACTGCTTCCAATATTGAAGATTTCTTCGCTTGAAACGATCCTCTTTCTCTTTGTGTCCATCTTCCACGTCTAAGGGAACATGATCGAAGACAAATTCGCTTGAAATCACCTTTAGTTGTTTGTGGCAACTCTCCACAATCTAGGGAACGCCATCTTGCTGTTCCGATGTTCACTCCACTCTGAACAAAGAGCTTTTTTTTAGATATGTTCACGTGCCTCTGAACAAAGAGCTTCTCTTTTTTTTTATATGTCCACGCGTCTCTGGAGCAAAAGAGCTTGAAAGAAATGTCCACGCGTCTCTGAACAAAGAGCTTTAATGATAAGAATCCGAAGAAAAATTTCTGAAGACCAACGCTTGTCGATCTCTAAAGCTCGCTTGAACTTTGCTTCCGTTATGCCAGTACATCGGCGGTTTGCTGCTTGCGAACCATTATGTCGGTGTCTCCGTGATGAGCCAACACTTAGGCGCTTTAAGCTAAGTGAGACGATATTTCGTCAGGTTGATCATTTATTGCGATTGTAATCAAACCGACTACTTAATCATGTCAAATTGCTCATAGGGGCTAACTGGCGTACCAAGGAACCCGAAATTGCTGTAGGAGGTTGAAATCACCTTTCTGAGAGGCTTCGAGCTCTTTCGCTGCTGAAATATCTCTGGCGCCAAGAATTGGCTCTGTCGCCAGACGCTGGGATCCAGCGCCAGGCGCTAAAACCTGCTGCCAGACGCCAGATGTTGTCATCTGGCGCTGGAGTAGGGTCTTCCCTATTCTGCTGCACCTGCATTTATTTTTAAGTATAGAATTTTGCTAATCTCTTTAATTATCTTAGGGTTGACCTAAGGTTTAACGTCGCTTGACTCATTGACTTGTCGTGACTCAAGGTATGAACTTGACTCGTTCTAATAGACTTGAGGTTGACTCGACTCGAAGTGAAATGACACGTGTGACTCATGACCCGTGTGTGCATTGTATTATGATTGTGTGACTCAAAAATGCAAAAAAAAAAAGCAAAAATTTTCCGTAATTTTTGTGGAGGGTACCGACTTTCTCCCGAAAAAGAATCGAAGTGAATTTTTTGAAGGTGCATGTTGAATGAGCTTAGTCAAATGTTTTTTCTCACAGTACAAGGATTGTAACATCTTAGACTATCCTAGTTGACTCGATAATGAAAGTATTTAGGTAACTTAGGCGCGGAGGCTAAGCACTTCATACTTCGATGCAATGATGATTATGATTGATGAGTGATTTTGATATGACAATACATGCTTCAACGTTGTGTTAAGATTTCATGACAAAGGGTTCCTAAGGGAAAGTATATTTGGTCATGTATCTGTGTAGTGTGTGAAAGTGACACTAAAGTTAGGCCGCAAGGGCTAAGTGTGTGGAAAGATAATATTTTTTAAAAGAGTCAAATGGTGGTGACTCTTAGGCTAGGTAAGCTAATGATGTAGGGATCAAGCCCCCAAGTCTAGCTCTAAGTGAATAGGGATGAGCACAGGGGATCCCTTGATATGATCAATTGTGAATGTAAATATGAATGCATGTTTATTACGGCCGCACCTCGATGTGAGGTTGCCTACGTATCCGTTAGGAATCAGGCCGAACGTAGCTCTAGCCGAACCTCGCACAAGTATGTGTATACCTCAAAAAGGTCTTTTTAAGGGTTGTAACGTGGTTAGGCTAAAGGTTATAGAAGAAGGGGATAAAAGCTCAAGACCCTCTATAAGCCCCCAAGGTGTGCAACCTTGCTTTTGAATCTCTATATTTTTATGCTTGAGGCTTGCTTCTCTTTTTTTAGCTCTTTTTTCTCCTTTTTTTTTTTTTGCTTTAGAATTTATTTTATTTTTATAAGTTTGGGCAATCCCGATCATGCGGTCTATCACTCACTTGACATTCATGTTTCTCAGGCA